CTAGCCGATAAATATATAACAATGCAGATCGTACTATTAAATAGATAAGATCAAATAAAATAATATAGCTTCTATTCATATGAGCCATAAAACTGCTTCTCTCGGCGTTATTAAATGATAATTTTTCAATGTACTATTAACACTAAAGCGAGTTAAAATATTAAAACGGGAGTTTTAATGGCTGCTTAGAATAAAAAGGAAAGGTTGAGTCTTTAAAAAAATCAGCCATAGTTGACGTAGGAAAGAAATTCTTACTGAAATTATTCCAATAAACGTTACATCTCGTTTGTTTGTTTTCGAAGAAATGGTAAAGACAATCATTTCCCCCCGAGGCACAGTTTAAGGCCTCGAGGCGCCACCGAGGCCGCGATATCACATCTGCCCTCGGCATTAAGCGTATGGAGCGAACAATCGAAGCGAGACATTCCAAACCTCTCTTTTCAGTATACTTCTGTGCGGAGAGCGAACGAAATGAGTACAAAAAATGGGGGTGAATATAAGATGCTAAGTTCTAATAAACAATTTAATATCTCGAGAACGGAAGTTACTAACACGGATCGGATTGCGAAATTTTGTATTGCGTTTAAAAGGGATTCAGCAGAAATAAAAAATTGCAACATTTGAAAATTAATAAACAATTTTCAATTTTTACAGATCTAAAGATGGGAGAGTCTCCCGATGTCGCAGAGCCGAAATCATGCAGTCTGGACTGCACGTATTTTCTATATCCAATCTGCAAACTGTATACTGGCCTTTAAAAGCTACTTTTTGGGAACTGACTTTGTCTAAAGCGAACATCTCTACCATCAATTTTGTTGTTTTAAAATGTTAACTTTTTGCAATTTTTGATTAAACGAAGAATTTGCCGAAAATGGGACTAGCATCACAGTATAGGTACAAGGTTGCCTTTTATGTTTGGGGATTTGGCAACCCTGGTGTTGCAATCTGGCAACTGACAGCTCTATCGTAAAGTTGGATGTTTTGAGGTTCAACGTACTCGGAACGTTTTGACATACGAGCACTATTTGTGTTGTTTACAGTAACTTAAAAGATTCATCTTGGCCCAAAAATGGAATTAAATCTTGAACATTTTCGTGCGATTATTTTTTACAACTTTCGACGTGGATTAACTCAGCAACAGCGCATGGATGAACTTAAGTCAATTTTTGGCGATGAAGCTCCATCAAGGACCAGTGTTTATCAATGGTATGGTGAATTCAATCGTGGTCGTAGTTCACTCCAAGACGAATTTCGCCCAAAATCAGTTCCGCAAACCATTGATGCTGTGCGTGAACTGATATTGCAAGATCGTCATGTGACATATCGTGAGATTGAGACAACCTTAGGCATTAGTGGGACCAGCATACTTTCAATATTGCATGAACATTTGGCTGTCAAAAAAATTTGTTCGCGTTGGATCCCCCACAATTCGTCAATCGCCCAAAAAAAGGCTCGTGTCGATTGGTCAAAAGAAATGCTCAAAAAATACGATCGCGGTGCTTCGAAACACGTCTATGACATCGTGACAGGTGATAAATCGTGGATTTACGCGTATGAGCCCGAAAGTAAACAGTAGTCGACTGTATGGATGTTTTAAGATGAACAAAATCCAACAAAAGGTGTTCGCGCACGAAGCACTTCCAAACAGATGGTCGCCTGTTTTTACTGAAAACCTGGACATGTCGCAACCGTACCACTAGAACAACGCAGAACAGTCAATTCTGAGTGGTACATAACGACCCGTTTGCCAGCTGTCTTCCAAGAAATCAGGAGAACCAACCGCCGAAGACGGATCACTCTTCACCACGACAATGCGAGCTCTCACACGTCGGCTCAAACAACTGCATTTTTGAGCACATAAAACATCGATTTGAAGAGTCATCCGCCGTATAGTCCTGACTTGGTACCGAATGACTTCCTTTTATTCCCGTACGTAAAAAACAAACTGGGAGGTCAACGTTTTTCGACACCTGAAGAAGCGGTTGCTGTATTCAGAATGCATGTTTTGGAGATACCTCAATCAGAGTGGCACAAGTGCTTCGACAATTGGTTCAAACGCATGCAAAAGTGTATTTCGTGATTAATATTTGTTTTTTTCTCTAATCCTGAAATATAAAAGGCAACCCTCGTATCATAAATTAATGCAGCTCCGTGTTAAATGCATATTATTTGTTAGTTAGGGACTCTAGCGTTCCGCGCGGCGACAAAAGAATACTACGCCGCCTTACCATTCGTAATACAGCGTCGTTTTCTAAATCAGACCAAAATTTAATTTTTCTATGTATTTTAATTTTCTTGTGCATATAACTAAAACATGTGAAATAAAAATTTTGAACAATTTTTAAGGAAAGAATTTTTTTATATCGAATGAATGTTCCCTATTGAAAGTGAATAATGGAATCATTAGGAATGAGTATTTCCTCACTTTTCATCGAAATATTTAACATGTAAGTAATCTAACTAGTAAATAAGGATATCTAGGAGATATTAACATTTCTGTTGTGCTCTTGAGCAACTTGAAGCTCCTCTTGTTGCAAAGTTGCATTTAATTGCAAAATAGTCGTGCCACGACACACGCCTAATGTGTTAAGTGGAAACGTACAAGAATTTCGTTAGTGCATATCAAATAGGTCCTGAAAGTGCATATCAAATAGGTCATGAAATGTTAGAACTTGGGTTCTATGTAATTTATGTGTTATTTAATGATGCCTTTGAAATCCTAGGAATATAAAACCAGGAAGTCAAGAAACAACACCATTAAAAAAAATGTTAATCCCCTCTTAATGAAAGCAATTTCGCGAACAAAGACATATACTTCTGTAGCAACTATCTCTTATTTACTTTGTCTCCACCAGGATCGCGCCTATCTAGCCAAAAAAACAGGCTGAGCTGTGTTACTGCATGATACATATACTGAGCTAACACCGTATATTTTACTGTCCCTTATTGCATATGAGGCAAAAATTTAAAGAAAAATTGGAGCTTTTTGGAAAAAAAATTGTTTGCAGAAGTTAAATTGCCTAAATTTCGCACAAAACTACTTGGAAAAGACATATTTTCGAAACATTGATCATTAATTTACTTAAAGATCTAAGGAACAGATTTCATTCAGGAAAAAATATGTATCTTCAATATTGTAATTGTAGGAAGACGCCCCAAACTGTCCTTTCGAAACTTTGGAAAAATCAGGGATTTGAACGAACATCAGACCTGTACAATTCTCTAAAGCGTCCTTTACGCTATCAGAGAATGAAATTTAATAAGAAAAATTGGAGCCATTTTGGACAAAAGTTTTGAAAATGTTTTTGAGATTTCGTGTAAAGCACTACCAAAAAATCAATTTAAAACTCTCAACGCCTCGAGTTCATTCACATCGATCGGGGTATATCAATTTGCAGAAAATCGGCTGGACGATTTAGGCACTAGCGTTGACTACGACGTTGTTTTGCCGTCAATCGACTTTTTTGGTACCAAGGACCAACAAAACATGGATTCTGGCTACACGTGTTAGAAAAAGTAATTTACTATAAAAAGCAACAAGATTTATCCAATGTTTTATTACCGCGGTCCAGCAATTAGTTTTTCTGCCGGAAATGCGCGTTCGATCCTCGGCCCCCACGACTCGCTGTGTGTTTCTTTCTGCCTGATTGCACCCGCCAACCAACAGCGAAGGCAAAAATGCATAAATTCTCTCGGAAGCACAAAAACGTGGCAGTAGGCCCCCTGAGAGCTCGAGCGATTTGCCGCGTGTATAATCGCGACAGTTATTTTGTTCATTTGAATGCACATAAAATGTTTTGACTCAAAACTGCTGCTGCAGTTAAAGCAATGAGTAGCCGGTCGTGATCTTTTTTATATAATTGCGACGAGTCACAATCAAGTACTGGCTTGGACTAGTGTCAAAATTATTAATTAAGGGGCATCCATAAATTATGAAACGCAAATTCGGAGTATTTTCAATATCCTCTTGTAACGCGCGGTTGAACCTCTCATAAATGAAAGTAAATGAAAAATGAAAATAAATTATAGCACAGCAAAAATAATTTGTACTTATTTTACTTGGACATCAAAATTAATGAATATAAATTGGTTGTTAATGCTGCCTGCACCCAACAAAAAGTTTGATCAGAAGCCATGCACGTCCATAATGGATTTCGCTGGAGGGGAAGTTTACTGCGACAATTTAAATGGATTCTAGAATATACAAGTACATATTTTCTTCGTAATCTTCTAAGTTCAATTAAAATTTGTAGACAAAAATATTTCCATTAATTGTACCAATGGCTCACAAGTTAAATTTGTTTTTAAAATTAGTGTGTTAATATTTTAGAAAATGAGAAAAAAACTGCAAATGTTTAATAAACGTAAAAAATGGGGGGGGGGGGCTAACGTAAAATTTAAATACCCTCTATCAGTTTGTATCGCGGCGTAAAGATATCTCCGACCCCCACCCTTCTTTAACCGTTACGTAATTTATGCACTACCCAAAGGCCTTTTTTGTTGCACACCTTAGCGTAATTCCTTAGGCAGTGTCAGTCTGGAATAATTCATTAATTTTCGTCGAGACTTACTAGAAATTCGTGAGTCGGGCAACTTCCCTCGTACGTATTTTATTAACTGAATGTGACAGTATATTCCTGTAACACTCAATTCATTAAAGATTTTCCACTTCCAAGCCACACTTCAGAACTTTTCTGTTCAACAGCTACTGGAGGTGGCAACCAAATGATTCTTTTAAATAAACCATTCTAATATTTTAGTGTACTCATTCGATTATTCCTCTCCCACGAATCCCTATGTTAATTCATAATAAGCTGATACATTTATCTCGGTAATTAAATTTCCCTACAACAATGAGCAAATTATACTTTAAAATGGCAACGAAGTAATAGTTTTTCAAGAAAATGGTCCTAAGACTGATAATTTACATTTTTAAATTCCACTGGGTTTTGTTACACAACCTATTAAATGTTGAATTAACTTAATTGTAGTTATTCAAAACGAATTTATTTGGTAAAACTGCTAACGTTATAGAAAATAAAGACCACAGATTTACACACAACAAATTCCCAACAAAATTTAAACTGGTTGAAAGAATGGTTGTGAAAGTCAAATAGACCAGAAGAGAAACTTTATTACACGATAAAATGGTTACAGTTTAACAAAAATGCACAAACATGTTTGTAACATGCAATTCCTTACTACAAATATTACTTCAGAACAAACTTCCACCACGTAGACGCAAAACGAGGTGAAGAGTAGATTCTTTCTGGATATTATAGTCTGACAAAGTGCGACCATCTTCTAGTTGTTTGCCAGCAAAGATCAGACGCTGTTGGTCAGGGGGAATGCCTTCTTTGTCTTGGATTTTAGCTTTCACATTTTCAATGGTGTCTGATGCTTCAACTTCCAGGGTAATTGTTTTACCAGTCAGTGTCTTAACGAAGATTTGCATGCCTCCACGCAGCCTCAGCACGAGATGAAGTGTGGACTCTGAAAAATAATAAAAACGTTTTCACTTAATATTCAATAAAATGACCATTACCAAAACATGTTTAGACTAGCCAGGAGGCACAGGTACTCAGAACACATGCAACTGTTACACCAAATCTCACAGCTCCCTCAGATGTAAGGCATAAAAGTTTGATATTGTTGTGATGGTGAGCATTTGCAGTAAAACATTTGTAACCATGACTGAATCCTTAACCCACGTGTAGTTTCTGCCAGGGTTTAAAAATACTTCTAAGGTCAAAAACTCATACCGGTAACAGGTCAACTACACTCTTGAAACGAATGAATAACAATTTTACCAGAGTCAGTCCCTGCTGTAATTCAATTGGAAAATTATTACTTTTGTCCTATGATTGTTAAATATAAAAATATTAATTCTTATTCTTCTCAGTGTAATTTCTTAACTAAAATTCCTTAGCCTTTTCATATATGAAAGTCTATTTTCAAATTTCCGCTCCACTTTCTTAAAAATTCAGTTCTTGTACTAGCCATATTGTTATCCAAAATTGGGTTTTAAACCAAATCATAATATCCCAGGTTTCTTAAAACTTCATGTAAGAGATTTTCTTTATTTAAAAATAGAAATTAAGGTATACATCACAGCCAGCAATAGTTATCAACACATTTGCTATAATAAATTCTCATAAAATCACTTTCTGATTTTTCAGTTTTAATAGTAGCACTGGGATAGATTTCATTAAAATATGAAAACTGAGCATCTTTATAGAAAAAAAAATTCATGAATGCAAACAATAATATTAGTAATATCAATTATTCACAAATATAATTATCTTTAATAATTGAGTCAACTGAGCGAGTGAATATTATCCAGTGCTTCAAAATATCCAAATCCAAGTTCAGCTTGCACTGTGTGGAAGCAGAAATTAGGCAATATTATCACCCATTTACACATGAATACTACTACAGATCACACTGCATGCCCTCTTGAGCTATCTACCAGGACAAATGATTTCAATGTTCATCCACACAATTTAGAGATATGTAACCATTACAAAAAACAAAACTCTTTAATTGCTGGATATATGGAAGCACCATCACATTTTAATATTTTATACAAATCAATGCAAAAGATCAAGAGACTAAAAACTAATTTTTCACTAAGATCATTGCATCTTCAATTAAAAAGTAATTGTTACAACAAGACTACATTGACTAGCAACACAGCCAATGTATTAACCTTTGAGAATGATTCACAGTGGAATTATTCCACTATGGTTTAAATGTAATATTTTCACTGCATTGTTGTAGACAATTCATCTCCCATCCCTAGAACAACATTGAGCACCGTTTGGAGAAATCTTCCATGAACACATGTTAAGTCACTCAGGAGTAATCCTCCATTAGCATGGTAGAGTCTATTCAAGAGGACCACCAGGTAGTGTCCCTGCGTACGCACCTCTTACATCATGCTCCTCAGCGGCGGAATTGGGATATGGGTACGATTTAGGATGCTTTGAATGGGTTGGACTAGCCTCTGAAGCATGCAAACTAATTTTGTTGGAACAAATTTCAGGAATTGAACCTGGACCTCCTCAGTGAAAGGCAAGCAACTTCCGCTTCGGGCCACGAGTGCATGATTTCCTTGCAACCAAGACAAGTGTATCTACCACATGACAGTTTTTATAACAGCACATCATGAAAATACTCCTGGAAAAACATCACCACTAAACAACTTTCAAATTGTCACATCTTACAATCTTTCTAATTGCCAGCCAAAATTTAAATCTTTTTGTTTCTGCGTAACAGCAAGCTTCCCTTTTCTCTTTTCCTTGGACATGGACTTTAAATATAAGACACAAATAATTATCCCAAAAAATAGACTGCTATGATTACAAATTAATTAATAAGACTACACTAAAAAAGGATGTTTCCTTAGTGTGATGCTTAACAGACTATGTGAGTGACCATAAGTACATTGTGTTTGAAATCCAGATCTTTAGAAATAACCAGACATGACTTACATATGAACAAAGATTGCATTACCCCCTTCCCCACAGGATGACTTATTTCCAAGTCACCCTGTGGCACTAGCATCAATTATGTTATGTTAAGTATTATGTTAAGAGTTTCAAAGAAAATAAGGTTTGGTAAAATATAAAAATCGCATGATAATTTATCGCTAAGCAATTTTTTTTCATTTCAATTAGTATGAAATGTCAGCACAGCTGGTCTCTTGACAGATACCCAACATGCACTTTACAACGCCGGGCACACCTAGCCTGAACATGTTTGGGGTTTATCCTCGCTAAAACCCTGTTCAAAACCTTGTAAATTCTCTTAAAAGTCCTTAAAATGACATGAAGTGAATTTTTCAGTCATCTCTCGATAACAAAATTTCATAAACAATTCTAAGTTTAGTTCAATAAAAGTTCGTATTACACATCCTCACCTATCTACTGTCAGTTACAAATGAAAAACTTCAAATGCCAAAATCATTTGTTGCTTTGGGATTACAAGCAGCTTCAGTGTTCATGTTTTACAAGTTAAAAAGCTACAACTATTTCAATGAAATGTGGAGTAAAAATAATGAGCATACCAATACATGTTCACCAACATATCTCCCACACCACATTTATTAGCACAAAGACAACTTATGGTTAACCAACCTTTTTGTATATTGTAATCTGATAATGTCCGGCCATCCTCCAGTTGCTTTCCAGCGAAGATAAGTCTTTGTTGATCTGGAGGAATTCCTTCCTTATCTTGAATTTTGGCCTTCACATTTTCTATAGTATCAGAAGCTTCCACTTCCAATGTGATTGTTTTTCCAGTCAACGTTTTCACAAAGATCTGCATAATTCTGTAAGAAAAGATCACAAATGACCACACACATGAACAAATGAAGGCAGCAACATCAAACAAGTTACAATAGGTAAATGGAACAATATCATACAATTCATGTTCAAGACATTTTCTAACTTCTAAAATTAAATCGTGAAAATTGTATTCATTTTGTTGCCTTGCTCTTACATTAATAATGAAGGAAAGATGGTCTATGAAAAGTTTCTAATCAAATCTCTATTAGCTGCCACTGTATTACATTTACTGCCAAAAAGCAGTGTTGATTCTGCACATGAACCAATTTAACAAACAGCTCAGCTTCGAACACTATATTTTTCAACTTAAGTAATTTATTTCAACTTTTGTAAAGTTCATTATCTATTTTACCACATTCACTGAAATACTTTACTACAATTGAATGAAAAGTAATGAGGACTACAAGATGGCGATATAGCCTGAACCATTGATCTTTCTTTAAAAGGTGAAACAACAAAAAATTACCTATATAAAAAGTATTCGCGAAACGCCCAAATAATAATACACTCGATAAACAAAGTTTCAGGTTTTCTCAGCAATATTAGTAATTACTATAGTCAAAGAAAGCGTTCGTCATATCAAATTTCTGAAGTTTCATTACTAATAAAAAAAGTACTTATTACAGAATGTTTAAACTCCATAGCACGACATAAAATCACAGTATTAAATTAAAACTCAACTAACGTTTACCTTCTCTCCACAGAATTCAACAATGGAAATGACACTTTCTAGGCAACGTCCCGCTATCGCCTGCGACGAAATACAACAACGCACAATCACTTGCAACAGCTAACGATGTCAAGAAGAGACAAAGCGGAGCAGGTGAAGCAGTTGAAGACGACGGAAGTCGAAGCACCAATGTTGCCATCCCCATGTAAAGAAATAATTGTATAAAGATGTGACAATTATCGATTTTCAAACAAATTTGTCCTTCATTTTGATGCGACACAGAATGCACTTGAATTTGATGTAAAGAAGTATCTAATTCATTTCCGGCATTTTCCATTCAATATTACTTTATTTTATTGTTCTCCATTTCAAAGGCATTTGAACATAAGTTGCGTTAGAAAGTGTAGGCAAACATGATATGTGTAAGGCCCAAGTCAGACTCAAAAATGTTTTATATTACGTAGAAAAAAATTAAAGAAAAAATTGGGAGCGGTTTTTGATTAAATATTTTTATAATTTCCATTTAATTCGACCAGAACTAATCATTTTTTCAAAAATTTGTACATGCCCTTTTTTAAAGACCTGCTTTTAGAACTGATTCAGTTGAAAACAAGTCTCCATCATCAATTTTACAATTTGGAAATGTTATCTTTTTGCGATTTTCGAAAATACAGAGAGTTAGTCGAAATTTAGACTAGGACGATATTATTTCCGTCCTTTGATACATACGAGAAGAAAATTTAAAGAAACATTTGGTCCCGATTTTGAGAAAGAATGTTTTTAAAAAAATAAAAATTGCCTATATTTCACGCAAAATTTCACGACCTATCTAGCAACGTCACTACTTACTACCTCTATGCTAGCCACACAATGAAGGTACATCAGGAAGTACAATGAAGGAGTTTCAGAAGCGGGGAGTGTAGGGACGGGAGTGGGAGAAGCTTTTAGCACTAGTTGCGTCGTCTGACAGACGACGCCTTTGTAATCTAGGGTTAACCTAGGGTGAATTTAGGAGATGGCAAAACAATCAACAATCACAATAAATAATTATCAGTAGGTTAATATTTCTACTTACATTTATTTCATTCAATTCGCTTATTCTTGTTTGCTTCAAGGCTTATGGGCTGATTTATATCCATCTGAGGTTCCAAAGAGGATGATTCAGTACCTTCTTGGAAGATCTTAAGTGTCATCTTCGACCTCCAAAAATGATGCGGTCACAAGCGAATAATTAGGTAGCTCTTGTTCATTATAATTGTTCTCATGATTATCAAGAGTTGGCGTCTTCATATTATTGCAAGTGTCCCAACAATTAAGACATAACTTTGAACAAAACAGTCCAGTCTGCCTACAAATACAATTAAGAATGCACCCCTTCATGTATTTGCAGGATATTTTGGGCAGGATAGATTCATGTGCGGGTGGTCTCAGTTGTAATAGTCTGGAGACCACTATTTGTTATCTTCCAGCCACAGACTTCAGCTCGTTTTTTATTGCCAACTTTTCATTTACCATTTTTAAGGTAGAGTCCATTTTCTTTTTTAATTATTATTATTATTATTATTATTATTATTATTATTATTATTATTATTATTATTATTATTTTGCATGGAATGCTGAATGAAGTGTAATGTTGAGGGATGAAATGACTAGGATGATGATGGAATGTGGCACGTGGGGTGGTGGTAGGTGATCGTAGGCTTTTTTGAACACAGACTTCCCAATTGCGAAGTCATCATGCTACGCACTGAACCACTTCGCTCGGTGAGAGAGTTGAAACTAAATGTAACTGTATCCCCGTAACAGCCTCGGTACGTCTGTGGTTGTTTCAGACTAGAGAAAAAGTTGTCTTTTTCCATACCTAAGTATTTATTCTTGTATATGTATAAATAAATATATACAATTCGGACACGTGCGAAAACTCAGCACTCTTTTTTTTTTTTGTTATTTAAGGTCGCATCAACTTCTAGGTCATTAGCGACCACTATTGCGTGTAACGGTATGAATTCACCTATGAGGATAACACAATATGATGATGATATGGTGAAAGAACGAACACAATTACAATCATGCCCGATGCGGGACTCGAACTCGCGATCCTTCGGTCCGAGATCGCTACGGCACTACTGCCTTAGCGATCTTCCGGACCGGCCACTCTACATTTTGTAAATAATAATTAAATAAAATTTCCGGAATTTCCTTCAATTTAATTTTACATTGATTTCGGCATCTTCTCTTTTCTGTCCACCCATGCTATAGATTGGGTACGGCATCCTTTCCTAGGATGGCCGTGAGTGGGGGCACCCAAAATAATTAAATCTGCAAAATTGTAAAAGAACGTTCAAAAAGCTCGTATTTTGTAGAATACTGCCTAAGAACATAATTAGAGTCCAACCTGTCCCCCTTCATTTCCCCACTTTCCCGAACTGTCCCTAACTTCATTTCTCCATTTATTATCTACACGTTCCCCAAAACACATCATAAGTCAAAATTTACCTGTCCTCCAAAAAAGTCATGTCTCCATGGGGCACTTTAAGCTAAGACCTAGGACTCACAGCTTCCCAGTTATTTGCGATTACAATGTGTGTTACAATAATAGTTTGTTGTCGTATGTCATAATCTGCAAACTTCTATTTTTTCTTCTGAAATCTGTTCGACATAGAACTTTTGTGTAATTATCTATGCACCAGTAGCACACTGAAAAGTTTTTGTGTCGATGTTTTCTTATAAACTGCCAAAAACTATAATCTTTCCTCAGGATACGATTTTTTTTATTAGCCAACTGCACATCCCATTAAGGGCAAGGGCCTCCTGCTTGAGCAGGGAATTAATAATACTTCTCTAATGAAGTGATAGAATGATGATGAGGTGTGAAGGGACGTTCACAAATACATCCCATACCAAGGCAGGATTCGAACTGGCGATCGACACGACACTACTGCCTTAGAGATCTCGGCTACCCGGATTGACTTTAGCATATGATGTACTTATACAAAAGATTAGAAAGCTTTAAAAATATGATTATTTGCAACTACACTCCAAAGTCAAAATATTACTGGGTGCTACAACAATTCATACAAATGCATAACAAACAGTAAAATAAATGCACAGAACCAGGGGCGGATCCAGAGACAAATTTTGGGAGGGGAAATTCAAAATGTTTTGGTCGAATATGTCATATTACAGATTTTGTAAAACGTCGCAGGCTACACTCAGATCATGCTGCGATATAATTTTATTCGTTTTAATGATTATCCGAAAAATATTTCTGATCGAAAGTTTAGTGACAAGTTAAAATTAATAGTTACTGAAAAATTTTAGGGGGGGATCTCCCTCATTTCCCTCCCTGTGGATCCGCGACTGACAGAACTGTTGCAGTCATTTTCAAAGTACAAAAGTCAGTCCAGGTGATTTAAAGGCGGGAAAATGGTATACATGTTCTTTTTTTATTTTGCTTACTACAGTCCAGTAGACGAAACAGTATGAAAAATATTCACAACAATGTGCTTTGAGAGGAACTTTTGAATTTTTTTTCGAGCCTGTTCCAGGATTCTGAGACAGTCATATTAAAAAAAAAATTGTTTGCATTTGAATTAGACGCTGAGAAAATATTAAAAAATGTTTTTTCTGATAGTATAGGTCCTACATTCTTTTCTTATTTCTCATACTTTTTCAATTAGATAAAATAATTTTAAGAAATATTTTTCGCTGTAGAGGGGTGTGTGTGGTGGGACGGGGGCTAAGAAACCTTTCAAAAATTTTATTTTTATGTTAAAGTTATATAACTACTCATAAGTCATTTGATTTAGAGGAACTTTTTACCGTCTTATCAGGGGATAACCTTTTGGTACCTTAACATCGGTCAATTGCCCATCATTCATTTTCAAAGAACTATGCAATTGCTTATTTGAAATGGAAAACTGCATTGTAACTGTTTTCCTTCATTTACTATTAATTTGTTATTACGGAACAAATTTCAAACAATCACACGGACGGACGTGCAGGCAGACACAGTCGAATTGACAGACATCTTACTACCAACGAATTCTTTGGTATCAAGGACGCACAAAACATAAATTCTGACTACACAATGTGTTCGAGGGAGTAATTTACTACATACAGGAACATGTTTTATCCACTTTTTTCGATACCAGGGAGCGACAGTACCATTTTTTCTGTCGATTTTTGCCGCAGCATTACAATAGTTTTTTTTCTACGTAAATACTATGACGCCAAAGTAAAAGCGAGATTATAAAACTCGTATTAAAAATGATTCACTTTTACTACTTGACAAACAATTCACTGACTTTACTGACGAACAATTCATACTTTTGAGAATAATTAGGAATTAAAACGAAAAATGATTCAAATAACTTCAATGTTATACAAATATTTTAGTTAGATAATTTTAAAATAATTATTGCATTTGTTATGAAAGACAAAAGTAGAAGAAGCGGAAGAAGTATACAAGAGAGGGAGAAGAGAAAACAAGAAACTGCTTTAAGAAACGACTCAGAAAAGACAATTGTTTGGCAATGGCTGCCGCTTTAGTTTCATAGAATAGAAATAGGCTGTATGTCTCGAATAGATTATTAATTAATAATTAACAGTTAGTGATTAATGGCCTCCAACCAAATACGTCAATGCACGAGACGTCACAGACAGCGGAAACCGAAATCTGGAATTTCAATTTCGAACTAAATATGAAAATTAATTTCCATTTAATTTATTAACCTGTATTACACTAAATATTCTCAATGCAGTAATATGATTCTACGTACGAGTGTACGTAATATTAGATTGCAGTTGTTGAAATTACTTGTAACCTGCTTCGACGTCTCTGTCTCTATCCCTATTCGTGCATTCGAGTTTAGTTCAGTTTAATTATAATTCAACTCATTGTAGTGAACGAGGAGAGGGTAAGAATTTGGGAGCTCTAGAAAAGGTGCTCTGATTGTACTTCTCTCCCATGTCACACAGTATAACGTCAAAAACTGAAAATATTCATGCAATAACGTGAACCAGTATCAACAATTTGCATATTAATTTAACTAGTACGCAGTTATTCCCCGTATTTTACCATTATTTAAAACCAAAAATTTCAAAAGGCATTATAGTAATTGATTGTAGTATCGTTGAATGTATTCTAGTAGAGGAGACCCTTTCACTATAGCACTGTCTCACGATCTAAGGGTACTTAATATGCCATGAATTGATAAATAAGTTTTGAAATCTTGTAAAAAAATATGCTTAAAGGTCATTTTCTGGATCTGTAGAGAGACAAAATAGACTCAAGGATAACGAGGGTAATGGCAATGGGAAATAGGATCCTGATTAGTTTACCATAAAAAAATACAGATTACTAATTTGAATAATTTAATGACTAATTGCATGTAATTTTACGATATTTTAAAATGGTATTGACATTTTAAATAATAGTATTTAAGGTTTAAAACAGAAAAAAATCATTTAAATTTTCAAGCATTTTAATAGACTTAAGGCATCTAAACTAAATTTAGGTAATTTACCCAAGTAATTTCTCCTTACGTACGTGCTCCCACCAAGCTAAAACTAATTTGCACCTTAAAATTTCTTAGAAAATAAAAATGTAAGACTTGTAAATTACTACTTTAATACAATAAACATTTTCGTTTATACTATGTCTGGAGTTGCAAGGGATCTTCCACTGCCATTGCCATTGCCCTGTTCAAGCATCTCGACTACAACCTTTGAGAGAAATGTTCCATCACTGACCTTGCAAAAATATCTTGTATGATTTGAATGAATTGACTAATGCCATATTGTATCCAAATAAACATGGGCCCAGAATATTTAGAGAATATGCCGAAGTGCTTGGTTTTCCGCACTGAACAATGAATAAATTACCCTGAAAAATTATTGTTACATATTGTGTTAAGTTTGCCAATGAATATTCTGAATATAGACATTAGTACATCAATAAAATAATAATAATAACAACAACAATAATATTAATAATAACAATATTAATAATAACAATAATATTAATAATAACAATAATAATAATAATAATAGCAGTGCGAGCGTTAAGAAAATGTGAAGAAAAAGAACGCAAATACATCACTCAGGTTCATTCGTGCTTTAGTGGGCATAATGAAATCAAAATAGTAAATAAATACAATCTATTTTATTTATGTCAAATACATTTTGCAAGTGACCTTTGAGAAGGCGTGAGGTTACATTAAGGTCAAAACAAAAAAATAACTAGCACTTCTCTTGCTTTTTTATCTTTTTTATACATAATATTAGCAGTTAATATTAGTTAATCACTACTACGCAGGTCACGTGCGCGAAGAAATATTGAGCATTTCTCAATGCCAATTACTTTCCGAGAGAACCTCCGCGAGTTTCGACGAGCGCTACCGTCACCTTGGGGACAGGAGGAGAGGCCTCCGTCGGCGGGTCCGCGCAGGGGGCGCAACTCTTGGGACGTTCACTTCCCGTCGGCTGCGGCCCCTTGACTTGTCCCCTGGAAGCCAAGCAAGCGGCGCCAAAGAACCTCGCGCCCAGCTGCGTTCGGGGTTTGATGGTGGCGGTGTACGCCGTCGCTCTGTACGCGGCCTCGGCCAGCGCCGCGTCGTCGCCCGCGCCGGCGTACAACTCAGGGCCACGCGCGTCGCCGCTGCCTCCCCGCCCCGCCTCTCCCCGCGTTTAAAACCCACGCCCGCACCCTGCCGCCGCTTCTCAGGCTGCGCAGGTACAGCAAAGAGCAGCACCAGGCAGCAGCCCGCCGCGCCCATCAGCCCGCCAGCACGCGACAGGAACATGCTCGAGCGGCGCGCGCCCGGCGCGGCGGCGGCCCACCGCGGTCCTCCGCGAAGCGGCACCACGACCGGCACCGAGGCGCGCGGGGCGGGCGCGCGGACCGTGGCCACCACCTCCAGGTGGGCGTGGCGCCCGTGAGGGCGCGGGCGCGGCGTCGCGTCGCGTCCCGCCAGCGTCAGCACCCCCGCGGGGTCGATGGCGAAGAGGTGCGCGTCGGGCCGCGCAGCTCCAGGCGCACGGCCACGCCCAGCTCCTCGCCCACGCCTCAACCCGCCCACCGGCGCCCCCGCCTCGCGCCGCGCCGGACACCCGGAACTCGTACTGCGCCGAGCGGAAAACGCTTCGCCGCCGGTCGACGCCGGCACTCCACCTCCACGCGCGCAGAGTCCTCGTCCTGGGCGTTCGCCACGTGCACCGTGAACGAGAGCCGATCTCCCGCTCGGGGGAGCAGCGGCCGCAGCACCACGATGTCTCCCGCGCGAGGTCACGCGCGAAGGCCTCCGCGTCGGCCTCGTCGCCCAGCCAGAAGCTCATCGCTGGTCGGGCGGGCGGGTTGGTTGAGCGGGCTTGAGGACGCGCAGCCGGGGCAGCTGTGCTCGAGGACACGGGTGGAGAAGCGCGTTGCAGGAAGCGAGCGGCGGGGGGGGTGGGAGCGTTGCCGGCCCGCCGCGAAGCACCGACCAGCGTCTCCGGAAAGCTTCCCGGCTGCTGGGGCGCACGCTCTACGATAAGCGTGCTGAGTGCGCTAGCGGTCGGGGTTGTCGGCCTGCGCGGCGCGCGCAGCACGACCGTGGCCGGCACGCGCAGCTTCCCCGGCGCCCACTCGCGCCGCAGCGCCACGCGACCGCTCGACCGCGTCCATCTCGAACAGCGGCTGGGGCGCGTCGAAGAGTAGAGCAGCGAGGCGTTGAGGGCCGCGGTCCTGCGTCCAAGGCCGCGATCGCCCTGGGCCGCACCCGCAGCGCCGCGCCGCGCACCGGGGGCTCCGGCAGCACGGCCGAGTACCACCGCTCTTGGAAGCGCGGGTTCTGGTCATCCGCGTCCTGCACGAGAACGTGCACGGTCGCCGTCGACTGGAGCGGGGGCGAGCCTTGGTCTTGCGCGCGGATGGTGACGCTGAAGTCGTTGAGCATTTCGTAGTTGAGCGCTTTTTGAAGAAGCAGCGTTCCTTCCAAGCTGTTCGGGAACGCGAAGTAATGGGAGTAAGGCCCTGGCGCCACTGAGTAATGCACTGTGGAGAACGGCCCTGGCTGGTCCGCGTCTACGGCCTTGACACCTTGCAGCACGCGCGAGCCCACTGGCGTCGCCTCGGAGATCTTGAGCACGAAGGGCGCGTTCTGGAATTGCGGCGCGTTGTCGTTGGCGTCCGTCACTCGGATTGTCACCGGGATGGCGATCGAGGGGTCAGTGGCGTTAATGCGATCGCAGATGACATTAAAGTTGACAGATGACGGCCCTTTCACTCTTTCCCTGTCAAGGCCGCGAGTCAACGTGATGTTCTTGTCGACGATGGAAACAGGCAAGTCCTGCCCGAGCAGTCGCAATGTGATGTTGCCGTTCTCCGTCGGATCGCCGATGATGGGCAAGGTGCCTATCACGCCGCCCACAGGGAAGTCTTCGCTCACGAAGAATACCTCCGCGGAACGGCCGTTCTCCAAAAAGCACCTGGCGTCGGCAACTACCATATCCTGAATGTCAGCGAATACTGCGAATAGAAGTACAAACAGCTGCACAGAAAACATGGTTGGTAGAAAATTGATGCGGGAAGGCAGGTGTTAGTGGCAGATAAGTCACAGTCTCACATCGCAGTAGACCCACTCGCACACCTCTTCCTTGGCGGGCGCATACTCTTTGGACGGGCGCTCGCTAGACTGACGGGTAACCATATTTACCGATTAGCAACGCTGGACATGTGACCAGCAGGAGCCAATAATAAACTGCTGCGGATTTTTGCCCCTCCCCGATTTTTGCCGCCACTAGTCAAATGCATTTGCCTGTATGCACCAACTTCAGCACAAAATATGATTTCGAAAACCACTTACTAGGAAACAAAAATGAATTTTACACTCCAATTGTCTTTTCTATATATAATACAGGGTAAGTTTTAGATAAACTTTAGTTAAATCTATGCGAGATTTGTATTATATATTTGTAGTACTTTAAGATAAAAGAGTAAACCGAATGCCCATTATTTCAAATACAAAAATGTTTGGAAATAAGTACTATGAAACAAGATATACAGTTGAATTCTACTTACTCTGAATAAAGTTGAAACAATTATGAAAACAAGAGCCAAGCGACACAATAGTTTTTCTAATTTACGAAAACGATCAAATTTAATTTTAGGAAATCCGGTGCGTTTATCAATATAGATAAGAGAATGACATCTTGCACAATTCAGAGCTTAATCCCGGTAAAAAGGCAATAAAAATTCTTCTCTTGCGAGGTTCCATCAATAGGAGTGCCGCTTCAAATACCTGTTTTTACTTTCTCGTTTGCCACATACTTGCGTAGTAAAGAGAATCTGTTGTAGAGCTGCAGCGGTAAATTGCGATGTTTCGAATAAAAAACGTACGTCCCTGATATAGAAAATTAATGGAGCTACAATGGCACATATTTTCTCACATAACTTTTCAAAATTTTCGAAAATTCAAATAATTCAACGAAAATAAGACTTATGCTATTTTAATCAACGTACTTTGCTGTAAAAATTGACCATATTTCACGCAAAATTTCGTAAAAAACTTCTCATATTTTCTGAACATTTTACATGGCCTTATTTAAAGATCTGTTTTAAAAAAAACACGCTTTATTAAGAAAACCAATATCTTGTCGAATATCAGCGAATATTGTGAATGGATGTTTGCACAGAAAACATGGTTGGTAGAAACTTGATGCGGGAAGGTAGGTCTACCTTTACTATTACAGTTGTAGGAAGACGCCGAAAATATTTTGAACCTTTGCAAATTTTGAAAATTCAAATAATTCAACGAAAATCGCACCTTATCCATTTTTATGATGTATTTTTATCTATTTCAGAAAAATTATTAAATTTTAAGAAATGGGACCGGTTTTGAATTTTAAGAAACAAACAAGCAATATTAAATAATATACAAATTCCGACTTACGAACCATCCAGCTGCGTCGAATCGTCCACGAAGTTCAGTAAAATAGCAACGGGTATTTAATGTTGTCGCCAATTTACACACACACACACACACACCAACAAAAAACAAAAAAACATACTTTCAAAAAAATGGCCATGACCTTATTTGAAGATCTAATTTTGATACACATTTTATTAAGAAAAATTGAATTTTCACAATTATTAGACTGGTAGGACCACGCCGAAAACAATGCGCAGTCAATTCAAGCGAGCTATTATATTTGTCGCGACGTTATACAAATATACTCATATTTTCGGAACATTGAACATGTCCTCATTTACAGATTTGCTTTTTATGAACAAATTTCATTAAGGAAAATAACGTTTATTCACAACTGTAGTTGTAGGAAGACGCCGATTTTTTTTTTTTTTTTTTTTTTTTAAATTTTCGCAAAATCACTCATTTCAATGAACACGAGACCTGCACCATTCTCTTGAGCGACCTTTATGTTATCTAAGTTCCCAATTTAATCAAAAAACGTTGCGCAGTTTTTAAGAAGTAGTTAAAATAAAATAACATTGTTGTTTGACATAAAATTTCGTAAAAAATACTCATGTTATTGAAAAATTGAACTTGACCTTATTTAAAGATCTGTTATTGATGAACACAGGGGATTCTAAGGAAACACTAAGGAAAAAAAAATTATCTTCATAATTGAAATTGTAAGAAGACACCGAAAAAATGTTGAATTTTCTCAATTGTCGAAAAATAAGGGGTTTCAACCAACTTGAGACTTACACCATTCTCTTAAACGTCCTTCAGACTATCCACCAACACAATTTCATCAAAAATGATGGAGCCGTTTTTGAGAAAAAAAGTTGTTCAAACAAAAATTTAGAATTGCCTATATTTCACACAAAATAACGCGAAAATACTCACATTTTTGAAAAAATGTACATGACCCTATTTCAAAATCTCTCTTTAGGGAACAGATTTTATTAAAGGAAAAAACCTATATTTCATATTTTAGTTGTGGCAAGACGCCGAAAACAATTTTGAATTTTTGAAAAATCAGAGCTTTCAACCAACATAAGACTAGCGCCATTCTCTTAAACATCTTTCAGACTATCCACCAACAAAATTTAATCAAAATAGATGGCGCCATGTTTTTGAAAATGGTCCAGGGGCTTCTTGTAAAGTACACCCCTAAAATTAAAATAATTTCAAATTCAAGGAGCCGCGACATCAGCCAGATCGATCACGGAATTTGGAGAAAATTGAATGAAAACTGAACGATTTGGCCGCTAGCGTTGTTCACAGACGGAAAGACAGACGTTTTGCCGTCAATCGACTTTTCGGTATCAAGGACCCACACAAAACATGGATTCTGGCTATACCCCTTTCTAGATTTTTCTCTAAATTTAGCAACTGGATTTATCCACTTTTTCATTAGTAGGGCCTTTTCTGAATCGTCTGAAATTCGTCGTTTTTTCGCGCAGCATTACGAAACTTTCTCTTCAACGCGAAAAAGTACAAATTTGGATCTTGTTTAAAAATAGTCTATTTCACGAAAAATTATGCGAAAATTGATATTTACGAAAAATTGTATATAATCTTATTCAAAGATCTGAACAGTTTCATTAAAAGAAAAAATATCCCTTCAATATTTAATGTAGATAAAAAGTTTTGAACACTTGCAATTTTCGAAAATTCAGAGCTTTATAAAAATAAGACCTACGCCATTTTAAAACATCTTTCGTTCTATCCAAAACGAAGTGTAATCAAAAAATTTGGGGCAATTTTTGGGAAAATTTTGAAAATGCTAAGTTCTCCCTATTATCAAAGTATCTTATTCAAATTCACAGACCCTGATGTTTGGCCAGATTGATTGCGGAACTTCAATTTTAGAAAAAATGTAAAACAGTGTTAGTAAAACATCAGATATAATTCAGAAGGGTAATTTGTATTCATTTATATATACTTAAAAAACTTTATTCCGAGGAATCATGATATACAAATTAATGTTTTACATAGTTGATAAACCACGCATACAATTCACTCAAGGAGCTCACCATATCATAAAACCAAAAAATTTGCTTGGAAACTAAATAACAACTAATTTACAAATCCATTCCATTCATACTTTATTGCAACAAAGTTCAAATTTTAAAGAGATGAATAACAAAGCGATACATAGTACACATGAAAAGAGAGCAATTTTAACAGATCTAAAATGATAAGACCACAGTACCCAATTTCTTAACTGAACAATTTATGTTCCAACTGATATTAAATGGTAAGGTATCATATGCTCAGGAAAAAAAGAAAGACTACCAATCCAACAGTTAATCCAACAAATAATTTAGCCTCAATTTTTAAATCATAATGATGTTTAGTTATACCAAGTCCAAATAGCTTGAACTCTCAAGTTAAGAGATTATGAATTGTCAAAATTTTCAATGAAATGGGTGTGCTTGTACGACTTCACAGTTTTGGAGGTCTGGTTCTCCAACTGAAAGTTTCACTGGGAATTCCAGCTTCAAAACTAGCCCTTTTTAATTGAGAATGAGTCAGGTGTACTATGATAATTGGGATTTTAATTTTCTGGCAAAATAGAGAATTAACACTTTGAATTAAATGGTAATTTTTTTCATCTTTCTCTTGGAGAAAGTGTTTTACAAAAATATCCTACAAGCCACCCAAATGTAGCACACACCCCTGAAAGTTCATTTATTACAGTTTGAGAACCTATGTTTTAGGAAATCTGCCATAATTTATTACCAATTCCATCTAATTTCCTTACATACATCTAAATATTTTCTCTTATTATATCAATCATAATTTATATAATTAATGTTTCACTGATACATGCTCATTATTCCTGACTTTGTCACTTTTAATACGTTCAGGTTTCATTTACTGCAGTTTTAAAAGTGCGATGTAAATAACATTGTATTACCAATCTATTTAACATTTCACATTTTTAATTAATTTAATTTTTAATGCAAAATTTATAGTACATGGTAATTCACTAAATTAATCCGAGAAGTACATCAGTTACAATGAGAAAATGAACATAGATCACTGCACTCCCAACACCTTTTTGATGGCAGATGTAATATCAGAAGGTTGAGGAAGAGCATATACTTCCAGAGATTTGGTATACGGCATAGGTGCATCAATACCAGTAATTCGAACAACAGGGGCATCTAAATGAAAAAAGGCTTCACCTGCAAAAAGAGATGAATATGGATAAATTTTACACAATTATTAAATTATTCTGTTAGAAATACAAATACACTTTAATTTACATAATCTGTTAATAGCTTTAATATCTTTCCTACTCAAAATTATAATACTTAATTAGACACATTCTCGGTCTTATTAATAAACAATTTGAAAGGTGATTAAGAGTGGCAGGAACATTCTAGAGAGAATTATAGTATTCTAAAGTTTTGTGCCATGTCTTTTTTAATCTTGAGAAAAGAGAGTAAAAGGTTCTCAAGTTAAAAATAGCAAAATAGTTCTCAGATTAATAAAGAGAGGCTTACAAGAATCACGTGAGTGGGATTTGCTTCTTATTTGTACAATTCTTTTTGCTAATCTAAAAGTCTGGGAGCTATAAGATGTATTTCCCCAGAATATTATGCCATATCTCAGGCGGGAATGAACATTCGCAAAATATACACAACGAGCAGTGTGGAGTCTCATTGAACTTGAAAGAATTCAAAAAGAACTTAATTTAGTGTTCAATTCATTTAAATGGACATTCCATTTAAGGTTTGACTGAATTGAAAGACCTACAAATTTTGTTACCTTAACATCAGTCAATGGCGCGCCATTCATTTTCAGTGAAGTGCCAAGCTCTTTATTTGAAATGGAGATCTGCATTGAAACAGTTTTTTTCCGTTTACTATCAACTTGTTATTACAAAACCAATTTGAAATATCTGATATTGTACTATTTACGGTTTCTTTATTGCAAAGAATATTTGTATCCTCTGCAAAGAGAACTGTTCTTCGGTTTCTAATTGTCGAGGGCATATTGTTTACGTGTAGTAGGAAGAGAATAGGGTCTAAAATCGATCCTTGCAGAACTGAAAATGTAATTGGCAAAGAATCGGAAAGGTGTGTACATAATGTTCCATTATTCCAGTAAGGTATTTCTACCGAGATCATTGTTTAAGGTAAGAACATAACCAATCTCGTGCAACACCATGAATTCCATACGATGGTTTTGGGTGACAGGCGACTTTTCTTGGATTCATAAAAGAAAAGTTTAAAAACAGTGCTATTACACAACAGCAATGAGCATGCTTCAGTACCTATGGGGCATTCAGTTCATCTAAAAGAAACTTACGAAAATTGTTCACTGATCCTTACTATAAAATACAGTACAACAATCATGGCTGGGTGATATGTAGATACCTGAAGCTTTTTGTGCATGCTTCTTGGACAAGTCTGGGTACACAAAGTTTCCTTGTGAACGGGACAGCTGTGCGAGAATGAACCACTGGGACCAATCAGAATGGCCCCAAAGAACTACTTCAGAACCACGAAGTAAGAATATTTTAAGGAAAGGTCTTATCGATACAAAGAAAATTCTGCTACCACCAGTGCATATAAAATTAGGACTGAAAAAAAGAGCTTGGATTTCCTTTGAAAAAGTGGTTAAGAACTTTCTAGGAAACAAGAATAACCTGGATTATGCATTGTTAAAAATATGTTGAAGAACTTTAAAGATAAGGATGAGCTTCACTTCCTGCATGCACATTAGGATTTCTTTCCTGAAAAACATGGTGCGATGGGTGAGGTGCAAGGTGAACATTTTCACCAAGATATTAAGGAGATGGAAAAGAGATGTCAGGGTCGATAGAATGTAAACATGATGAGCGACTACTGCTTGAGGCTCTACCAGGACACGTCACATGGCATACTTAAGAGGAATAGTAATACTCGCAGCTTCACAGAAAAGAAAAAGATATTGCAAGACACTTAAATCATATTTTTAGCAATAAAAAAATATTAATAGTTTGTATAATAAAAACTGTGTGTATTATTTGCTAGAAAATGGTTTTATTTTTTATATACCCTTAATAAACATAATGTAATACTTGTTAGCTAAAAAAATCATAGTGCATTGTGGAAAAATGGTGCATGATGTGATAAAACTGAGCTCAGATATAAAATCAGCACCCCAAAAAACTATTCATGTTGAATAAATAAATAAAAAGATTGTATTTCAGAAAAATAAATTTGCAGGCTTGTGTAATGACTGAAAGAAATGGTCATGGATAGCCTTTTTTAGTCCATAGTATTGCTTTTGCCTTTCAATTGCAATTGGTAATTGGTGACCTCTGGAGGTGATCTGGTGAAAAAGGACAATCCCTTTCAGAGGAAGAAAGGATGGAGATTCTGCATAGTTTACATCTTCAAGTGGAGCAACAGTGCAGTTAGCAATACAGTTTTTGAGCAAAAAAGCAGAAACAAGATATTTAGTTGTAGAATAGTCAGAAGCACACAACTAGTTGACTCCGGATATAGTAAATGTGGATGTAGTGAATTTTCAATTATAGTGTACTGAAGTCCCTAGTCCTGATTTAACAAAAATTACAAACAAGAACTAGAGATAAAATAACTATAGGTGTGGTTCTAGCCAACAATATTGAAATAGCAGCTTTTGATGGCTTTTGGCCTTTGGTTCTGTAATAGTTCTTTCACATTCCTTAACAGAATGTACTTAAAATTTGCTTTGTTCAAAGTTTACGTGATCGAGTAGTGAGCTGTGCACTTTTATCTAGCATCTCTGTTCTTCTATTTTGCAAGTAAAGCTCAAAATGGTGACAAGCTTCCAAGTTTGAGAAGTTTTTGTGACAAAAATATTATTTTATCATTTTGTCACCGTGGTTGTATGTAGAATACATATATCTATCAATGTGATATTGTTTCATTTTCATCTTTCGCAAAACACAAACTCACACTCATTGGGCATCAAACCGAAAGAACCAAGGCTCATTGATTGAGTCACAAAATCTCAGCAATGATTTTTATTCATTTTCCCACTGCATTCCACTTTTCACAGTATCATTTGTTTGAGATTCTGTCTTTATAGGCTGTTTAAAAATATTGGTCTGAATTGTCCAGCTAGTTCGCAGTGAATAAGTCCATGAATATAATTAGGTATTATAGATATTTATTATTTATAGTTATTGCCTTTGCAGCTTACTCTATTATCAGAATTTGAGTTTCTTCTATGCATTGAAAGGTAGTGTAAACATATAAATCCTTAGTGACTAGGCTTAATCTACGAATATACGATGAATCTATATTTTTCAAACCAGATATTTAGGGGGAAAAAAACTTGTCTTAAATTTGGGTAAATACATTAACTACTAACATTTAGGATTTAACACATTATATAGCACTTCAATTCTAAAAAAAAGTGAAGCTTTTGACTGCATTTCATTTTGCAATCATTTTTAAATGTATTATATTCATTTGAAAGAAAGAAGAGAGAGAGAGAGAGAGAGAGAGAGAGAGAGAGAGAGAGAGAGAGAGAGAGAAAGTACAAGAAAAAGAGAGAGAGAGTACAAGAAAGAGAGAGAGAGAGAAAGCACAAGAAAAAGAGAGAGAGAGAGAGAAAGCACAAGAAAAAAGAGAGGGAGAGAAAGCACAAGAAAAAGAGAGAGAGAGAGAAAGTACAAGAAAAAGAGAGAGAGAAAGCAAGAAAAAAGATCAAGTAAGAAAAGTGCAAAAAAAAAAAGAGAACAAGAAAAAAAAAAAGGAGTATAGGAATAACAATTTCAGATTTTCATGTCAAAGTTACAATCTTGAATTAAAATTTTATAGCAGGATTTCTCTAATGAAAAAGTATTTTAAAATGATACAATTATACAAAGTTTTAGTTCTGCAGAGTACCTTTGTATGAATAACCAATATTAATTAAAAAAGGTTTCATTACAACTCTAAACTATACTTACTTTCCATAATTCTGGCACTTATTTCAGCCCCAATACCACATAATGGCCAACCTTGCTCAACTGTAACTAAATGATTTGTCTTAATGACAGAGGAGATGATTGCTTCATCATCAATAGGTCGCAATGATCTCAAATTGATGACTTCAGCCTCTATTCCCTCTTGAGCCAATTCTTTAGCAGAGAGTAGGGCCAGTTCAACAGCTTTAGAGTGTGCAATCACCGTTACATGGTTACCTGGAACAAGGGGAAAAAGTTAAGGTTCTTCTTTCAGTCAATACAATATTATAAAGACACTTGACTAGAATTATTACACTTCTCTGTAATTAAAAGACTCACACAAATAATAATACTATCTATATTTCTTGTACTTTAATGTGATTTACATAAGGATTTTGAAGATTGGCATGACAGAAGTTGCGGAAGCATCATCTTCAAACCTTTTCAAAGATTTTAAACCAAATCAAATTTACTGGTTATTGTTTATAACAACATATCTGCTATAACAAAGAAAATGAAAGGTTCAGTGATTCACACACCTCACGTAACATGCTTTTTAATGGCTGTACTGATTATTGTTATAGCAAATGATCGACGTAGTAACTCAATTTCTCTGGAGTCAACCAACAAAAAGACTGTATATAGTGATGGTCAAAATCTGTTTCATCACCCAATTGAATGTATTGCAAGAATAACTTTCTTACCTGCCTACAGTAGATATAATTCATTCAAAACCTGAGGTGGATACAACAATGTCTGTCTATAATGATATTTTTAACACCTGTGATGATATATTTGACCATTTCAGGACCTTATTAAGTATATCTAGAGTACTGAAATTTGCAACCTTCATTAAAACAAAGAAATATTAACTGAACATAAATGCTCTGTAGCCAAGTGTAGCTAATTTATTCACACACTACAATAGCCTTTCTTTTGATATGTTAGCTCTTCCTCTATTTTAATTTTGCTACCAGGGTGAGATGCACTGAACAAACGCGGCTACCTTTATGAATTTAATCATCATCTTCAGATAAAACCTTTTAGAACAAAATATTGGATTGGATATGAATGAGGTTTTACTTTGAAAATATCAAAACCAACTAGGAAAAATAAAAAAAATTGGATTCAATAACATAAGAAATAGATACCTGATCGTTCAATCTTTGCTTTTCCAATTGGTATTAAAAAGTCTTTTGATAGCACTTCTTCAGAAACATCAAAATTTGAACCATATAGCATTTCATTCTCAAGAAAAACAACAGGATCAGGATCTCTAATTGCTGCCTTCATTAATCCACGTGCATCTTCTGATGAATATGGTGAAATTACCTGTAAATATAAAACACCAAACACACATATTCTGAGTGGCAAAAATGTGAAGAGGGAAATATATCTAACACAAATCATGGTTCTTCATATTGGGGGTTGGACACACGATTGACTACCTGTTATCAGAAAATACATTTACTCGCATATCCTTGCTACATGCCTTAGAAGAGTCAAATGCCTAAGAAGAACGAATCATGCAAATGGAACGTGGAGATGTTCAGGGGAGGATGGAGCAGCATGGAATGCATGTATTGTGGGGATACAGTTGGACATTAGGATACCATGCCATAGAATGGAAAATCATATTCACTGAAATATCCCTAGCAACAAAGCAAGGAGTTCTGCAGATGGAGAATGTTGGATGAAGAAAACAGATAGATGAGGAGGATGGTAAGAGAGGAAAAATTCACATGCAAGTTACGGTAAATGGATGTATTCTGCAAAAACCCTCCCACACTATAATGGAGAATGAAGTTTTGAAGTTGAGCATATTGTCTGGAGAACTTGAATGATGTCCATGTTGTATGTACCATGTAAAAGTGATGCTTCTTATTCACACAGCAAAACAAATTATGAAACCTTCAATGCATAAATGCAAGCAGACTCTGGATATATTTTATAATTTTGAATAAAAAGTTACACACTTCCTATAAACTAGCTCAACGTGGCATCATTGAAGCTTTAAACCGTTTTAAAAATATTTTGATAAGTTAAAAATGATTACTATGCAAGTCCTAAATAAAAAGAAACTTTAAACCTACAGTTCTCTTTCATCCTCAGGTGAAGTAAGTAAAAAATACTCTCTAGGGTGAGTGGGGAAAATGTGTTCTTGGGCTAAATGTGTATTCATTTGAAAGAAAAATATGGAAATATGATAGCTAGTGCACCTTAGTGATCGTAAATTATACCAACGTGAAGAAACATTGGAAGCAAAAAAAGTCTCGACTCCCCTACAATCAGAAAAAAATCCTTTATGGTTTTGTTTGCAATAAACTGCTCATTTGTTAACATTTGCCCCTGCTAGGAAACAACTTGGTCTTATAAGTATCCCAAGCACACCACATTTGTCCCACAGTCTGGGGGAAATGTGTACTTCAGAGGTTGTTTCAAAAAGCTTTGATAAAACCATGAAAAAATTTTTTTTTTGAATGTCCAGCGGGTGATTTACAAACTAGAATAACAGTCCTAGCAAAAAAAAAAAATCTAAGTTTTAGCTAATGTAGGCTTACTAGAAAACGACGCAGTTGAATTTTGATGAAAATGTTATGCAATTGTCTCACTCCACCCTATTAATAATTAAAATTACATATAAAAAATGTGTACGTTCCGAACTGGTCTCCCAAGATGTGTAGTGCATGTAAATGTAAGCGTGTGTAAGTAAGCTTAAATAAATATGTAAAATAGTGTGAAAATAACATTAAAATAAATTACTTTTTTAAAACACTCCACAAGCAATCAAGAGCACTTTTACTTTACTTTACTTTAGGACAACTTTAGGTCCTACTAAAAGGAAAAAAGCATTTGAAAACACAATTCGTAAATGATTACTGTGAAAGAAGTGCCAGCTGTTGCACATAGGTCTCCAACATGAGATATAGTGAAATGCAACTGACAGCACAAGATCATGAATACTTGAACTTGTTCTACTGCCACCTCAAGCAATTCAGAAGAAAATCGATTCCCATTTTATTGTCTAGGGACCTTTTAAAATCAAACAAATACCCAACATAACCCTCTTGAGTACATTGGAAAATGGACTTGATTTCAGCTAGATGGCCAAAATTACACACTGTGTAGCGGCTTATCTCGACCTAGCTGTCTAGCTTGCTTCGAAAATCCTGCCACTGTCAAGACTTGAACCTTAGGACCTCCCAGTCAGAGGCACTGCAGTGACATTAGTTGATGCCCAGTCTGGTATTGATCGGAGAAAACAAGAAAACTACTCATCACAGCAGCTGGCTGCTAGAATTCTTCTCCAGGCAGTGGCTGAATTTAACCTAGTTATGTAGCTAATGTTGAAAATTCACCATCGGGCCCTGAACTCTAGCACCTCCCCGCAATGTTGGCTATAAGCTAAACTCAGCCAGTGCATATGACTTTGCCTATTGCTTTTATTCTCATGCAAAATGTAGTGCATGCTTTCCACACTCTGAGAAAGAGCCAGATGCTGTTCTCACAGCAACCAATTACGTTGGAGAGAATAATGCCATTAGTTGACCAGCAAGAGGTTAGGAAAATAATAAAAATGAAAATAGTGTAATTTTAACCTACCATTGTACACAATGTTTTATAACTCATGTATTTCTTTACAAATAAAGTTGTAACATATAAATTTAATTGTCAATCTTCGGAAACAATACCAATTGGGACTATACATTCTGAAAAATAGTTTGGGGATTTTTTCTGTGATTTCATCACTTCGGAAAACAGTTATTAGGGAAAATTAATTCAGGATAATACATTGTAATCTGAGACATGACACAACCCATTTTCATACAAATTTAATTTTTAGGGAACATAATTTGCAAAAATCTCATTATTGAGGTAAACAAACCTTCAAACCAGGGCAGTGAGCAAACCATGCACCATAGCACTGGGAATGTTGTGCACCCACACCTGAAGCAGCACCATTTGGTCCACGGAACACAATTGGAATGTTCACCTGGAAACATGAAGCACAGTTCTTTTTACTCTTCTTTCAAAACTCATCACCTTCTCTAAAAAGAAGTTGAATGAGAAAGTAAGTATATGAACATGCATAACATAAACTAGGTTCTTATCATTCTTACTGAATACCGATACAAACGTTGAAATATGAATATCAAAAGATATTCTTACTTTATATTTAAAATGAAATTTAGATTGTTTATAAAGCTTTAATACCAAATATTTAATTTTCTAACACATCTAAACAGTAAGTTTCTTTCTATCTAATACAGTGATCTCTTTTAAGACCCTGACCTATGTTGTATATTCAATAGTGCAGGAGATATTTTGTATAGTATATTATTACCCTAGTTGAAGTAAATCAGCGTTGCTCGAGTATTTATCACAATTATCTTTTAGACTGGAAAATAAGTGAATTATAAAGAGTATAAAATGGAAGTAATTTTATTTACTCCCTGCCTTGCTTCCCCCTCTCCATCAAGATTTGTTCTGCCCCTTGCCCTAAATCTCATCCCATCCTGTCCAGTCCCAGTTCACCTCAAATGCAGATTGCATTAAACGACAAATTTGAGGGTAATAGATTGAATCACTTTTAAGTATTTTTTCCTCCGGCACTCAAAAGTATTTATGAATCATTTAGTTGAAATTGCTCCAAGCAATCTAAAGTCATGCTAGAACAAACATACCTCCATCCATTTTCCTTTCTCGCCCTTGCTTTGTAAGAATAGAAATTATTGTAATGGTCAGAAAAGGGGGAATTTTCAACAGAAAAATGCTTATTCTGATTATAAAAAGTCCTAATTTATTTTTGTCTTCCTACAATTACAATATTGAAGATAAAGATTTTTCTGATTCAAATCTGTAATTCAAAGACATCATGAAAGAAGGTCATGTTCAATTAGAGTGTTTTTTGTGTAACTGTGTGGAATAAATGCAATTTTTAAACACTTATGTTATCAAAAATGGCTCCAAAATTTTCTTTAAATTTTCTCCTTGCATTTATCAAAAGACTGATGCTGATCCCATTTTCAAGGAACTCCATATATTTTAGAAAATTCCAAACAATTAACAGTGCACAAGTACAATATTGAAAAAAAAAAAAAAAGAATTTTGTTTTCAATGAAAGTGTTCTAAAAATCTGATTTTGAAAAAAAGTCATGAACAATTTTTTGGAAAGAACTGATAGTTTTTGAATAATTTGTGCTTGAAGTTAATGCAATTTATAAAGAAAGCATTTTTTAAAAAACTACTTTAAATTTCTTCTTTAAATTTTTTCCACGGATAGAGCTAAGGATGCTTACAAATACAGTCTGTCTTTTCGATCAAACTCCCTGAATTTTGGAAAATTGCAAAAGTTAAGACATAATACGAGAGTGTATGTCTGTTGTGACTGTTGGAGCACTACTAGTTTATATATTAATATGAAAAATTAATTTTGAACAGTCAAGTGCCATATCAGACACTATTTAACATACTAACATCTTTAATCAGCTCGATTCTTGACTGGTGCTTTCTAACTGCAACAATTCACCATGGCCCTGCCTCATTGCCGTGGGCTCACAAAGAAATCAAGACTTCCACATTGTTAATTGAATTATCTCTGCTATTTTAGCCCAGGTCTTTCAAACTAATTACCTATTTATGAAATCCTAAATTTGTATCAGCACATGATGATATTTGGATTTCTACAAGAAAAGAATATCTTCAAATACAACTATCTCTGCAACTGCTACATCGGTAATTCCCAAATACATTACTGAAGTTTAGGAGTACTGTAATGACCTTCTAGGGTGTTTTTCCATTTGATATAAGCAATATTCAATAATTAATGTAAGGTGCAGCACTGAAATGGAAATCTGTTTTCTTCACTAGTTGCAAAAATATACCAAAAACAATAAACAATGACGCACACAATTGCCATGCAAGCTTAATGTTATTCAGATACCAAACATCGCATGCACATCCGTATTGTTGTCTCTACAAGGTTGAACCAGTGAACAAATTATTCATATGAAGGTAGGAAACAGAAAAATTTAGTTTCTTCTATTTTTACAAATATATTACTAATATTACAAATGATAGCCCGAATGCAAGGGAATCACAATAGCAAATTAATTAAAAATCAATAGTCACAATTAAGATTTAGATCTTGAAATTATAACCTATCACTATATTCTCACCCACAAATTTCAAAAATAAAAAATATGGTTTCCATCCAATCATTTTTGGATCAAATAATGAATGCAATAGATTCTAAAAAAAGAGATAAGAACCTATAAATGGCTAAATTTAACATTCCTGAAATATAAGATCGTATTAACTAGGCTTTAGGCTTTACAATCTGTTTCTATTGGTTTACTGTTATATTCTTGGTAGCAATTAGCCTTCCAAGTGTTTCTGTTGTTGCCATATCTTTTATGGTAGTCCTAAATCTCTGTTCCCTCTTGATCTGTACTTATGCATCAGTTTTGGCAGTCATATGTTATTCAGTCTCTCCAAGTGATCTTTTCTTTTCCTTTGACAATGTTCTATTTCTTCCACAATACTTTTCGTTTTGAATTTCTTTCTAATATCTTCATTTCTTTGTCTCCTCTTGTAATTTCAGTGAGGAGAGTTAGTAATCTCATATGCGCTGTCTGCAATTATATAGTTTCTTTGCTATGAGGTTTCCTCCTAAATTTGGTTGAACACTTACGATATTTCCAAGATTGAGACTGTTCTTAGATGTTCCACTAATTTTCCATATATTGTAATTTTGGCTTTCCCTTGAATTACCATATATTTTGTACTCCAGATTGCTATCTTCATGGAGTTTTCTAGGGCCACTTTTGTCAATTCAAAAACTGCTCTTTGTAAATCATCTTCAGAATCCATTATGAGTTTGGCTATCAGCAAACAAGAATTTATCTACCTTCTTATCTTTTCTGATTTGTATTCCCTGGTGAACTATTTTTCATGTTGAAGGCGATGGGTGATAAAAAGGGGGTGGATTTTAATGAAATGTAATTTTTTTTCTTTTCACTTTACAACAATGCCGTTTTGAATAGATATCCATTTTTTGTTATGACAAAACAAAATGATCCATTTTTATATGCAATTTTTTGCATTTTTTGTCAATTTCCACTAGTAAGTCATTTTTTACCTTTCTAGTCTTTCTTATTTTTAATGCATTTTTTGCTGATTTCATCCAATTTAATATCATTTTAATGGTACTTGCTTCAAACAATATTTACAAGGTGCAACAAAGTTTTACCACAGAATTCCTAAGTAGCCTATTTGATTTCTTTGTTCATATATTGTAATGTCAGCTGTTGTGAGTACTATGTAATCTAAGGTTCCAGCCTATTGGTTCTTTTGTCAGTTTGGCCGATTTTGCAATATATAAAGGCTGAGATTGTCTTTTAAAGAACAGTTCAAACCAAAAGTTCGCAAGCTGAGTTCACTTGAACAAAAGGAAGAAGACTCAATTACATCAGTAACATACCCAACAACTTGAGTTGGTCATCTGAAATGGTTTTGATCAATTTTTTTTTACAGAATTTTTCTGTTTTTAGGGCATTTTTAAAGCATTTTATTTATCATTACTTGGCAATGTTTTAAATCATCAAAATCTGCCCCTAGTAATAACCTACATCCTTGTCTTAAACCCCTGCTGGTTCTCAACAGTATATTAATTCAAGTTCTTGTAAACATGTTTCACCTCTCCAAGTATATTTCAGTTTCTGCCCATTAGCTTGGTCGTATGCCTTTTTAACATCTGTAAATATTATAAAAGTTGGTAGATTCCTTTCCTTTCTTATGTCTATTATCATACATATTGTGAAGATGGCATCTTTAGTGCTTCTCTCCTTTGAAAACTTACACTGCTCTTCTCCCATGAAATTCTAACATACTTCATTAAGCCTTTTGCTCAGCATATTTGCATGTTAGATGTCAACAATCTGATGCTCTCACAATTAATGCAATCTTCCTCGAGTATTTTTTTGTGAATATTAATAATCAAACCTTTGCCATTCTAGTAGTATTTTCTCTTTTGCCATTCTTTGTTAAATACTTTTAATAGCATTTCTTTCAGCTTCCATATCTTGAGCTCTATATTGACTTCATCTAATCCAGGCCTTTTCCCATTTGTTGCATTTCTTATTACTTTCTATGTTTTTCTATGTAAAGTTGGATGACTAGTTCATCACGGTCAGTAATGTGACTTGTTCCTTAATCTCCTTTTATGTCCTGAGAGTTGAATAGTTCCACAGGGAGGAGTAGGTTTTATCCACTTTCCATTTAGAATGCAGACAAGTCATATTTGGTCTTTCACATTCATGAGTAGCAGTTTCAAAACTTCAAATCCCATTCACCAAGACCTCACTTTCTATACCTTCAACAAATTATCTCCGGTCTCCAACAAAGTTTCTCTTTTCTCTTCTGGGTACTTGACAGAGGCATCTCATTTTGGCTAGTAGTTTGTCTTTTATACTACGTGTAGTTTATTGCTGTTTGTTTTTGGAGGTGTTCTGTATGCTTTTACCTTTAATTTATCATCACATTTAGTTCACTGTCCCAAGATCTCAACCACATTTTTCTTAATGGTTTATAGCCTACATTCTCTTTTCTTACTTTACTGCTTACTTGCATTCTCTTATTGTTTAAGTGAATTTCGAAATGTCTCAATATTTTGTTTCTCTACCTGCAGTAGGTTTCCCTCAATTTTTTTTAAAACGTAGTCCTGATACTTTTATCCCGTAGAAAAGGTGCTTTGAGTTTAGGTGCTTTTTAAAATAATTTCCCCTCATTTTGGTTTGTTGTATGTGGAATTTAATTTTATTCCCTACCAAATAGTGGTCTACGCCTATTCCACATCCTCTAAATACTCTATTGTTCTGGGCATCGTTTAATAAGTTTTTGTTGATTATTACATTTTCTAGAATGAATCTTGTGCCTCTTGCTTCCACAGCAATTTTTTTTTCCTTATGTTTGAAAAAAACTATTCTTAGGTTGTTGAATAGACAAAAGTTAAGTAGCTCCCCCCCCCCCATTTTCATTTTGTGTTTTTTCTCCTCCTGGGCATATGAATGGGGGATTTCATTTTTACCAACTCTGACATTAAAATCTCCTGAGATAATGAAAAATCATCTTTACTTATGAAGTAAAGACTACTCCATAACTAAAATCTAGAAAACTATTTTTATCATCAATAGATTAACGAGTATGACATTGTCGAAAAGAGAACGAGTATAAGGACAAACAAGTACGTTTTCTTTGAACCAATACTCATGATGACAATGCCTGGTGGCCAAATATATATTTAATTTCTTGTAAAGATTGGCATTAAAATGTGAATCAATACTCTCAAGCCAATTTATTGATAAAAAATGTTCGAGACAATGGAACTGACAACTTACATGGTCTTACAGTATGATTAACTTTTCTAAAGAAAAATAGCAACATTTGTGTATTAATTAGTGTACTATATGAAAAACTTTTGTCTTTCAACTCCAGGATTTTCCACAAAGAGGAAATATATTGAAGAAAATATCTACGGCTCTTAAATATACTTGTTACTACGGTTAATATAAATATTCTTCACTTTCTCACAATAGCAAAAAGAAAGAAAACCTTAAAACTTTCAATAATCTCTTTATAAAGCCTAAACTGGCATTTGCAAAGTCCTAAAAATACAGGTCCTATACAATATATTAATGCTGGAAGACATTTAGAATTTATTTACCAGAAAAAGATATGTGGAGATTATTTCTTCCCAGTTGTTGATCTGCCCTGCATAAAGACTTCAAATGTCTCCAGTAATCCTTTGTCTTAGTCTTGTTTGCTAAAAACCATATCAGTTATTATCACACATTGAGCAAACACACACACAAAGCCCTTATTATGAATACTTTAGTTTGTTAAATGATTACTGGGCAAAATTTACTAATTCAGAGAAACAAATTAATTGGAAGAAAAAACAACTAAAACTACAGTATTAAGTGATTTTTTATAAAACATCAAACTTTATTTTACACAAAAGAAACACTGAAGAAGATGATCTTGTGCCATTGACAATTAATAACAGAAAATAAATCACAATAAAAAAATTGAGCCACAACAAAACTTTGGGGTATTAGAAGCATTAAAACTGTCTCATGTTCAAGACTTGACTTTGAACTGTAATATATTTACCCTACAATCTCCACCTTAGTTCAAAAGATCTACAATTATGGACTCAAAATGAATGTTGTATTCATTCTAAATTCTTCTGTGATAAGCACCTTCTAATTTGCAACATATTCAATACATTTTAATTTTACTCATTTCATTTATTGGTGCTATTCGTGCACATTCATTCAAAGTATTGAAATGAATATTGATATAATACACATAAAATTAACAGTTTAATGAGACATTTCATACAAAAATACCTTTAAAACAAAGCAAACTAATTATTTTACTATTTGCTACCCAAGTCACAAGAATTCGCATAAACACTGTGTACACTACTCTCATCAACGGTGAGTAGTACATTGTACATAAAGTAGTGTTTTTAACTTAGTTATTTCATTAGTAGATTGTCCAACTTCTACAAATAAAGAATTGATCACAATTATTGACATTAGACTATATAATTTCTTATTAACAGCACAAGACCAGCTGTCTCCTTCACAGATTAGAGATGATTCTGAATAGTTGATATGAATAATAAAACACGCTAGAAAAATAGTTATAAAATTTTAATTTACCTTCCCTGCAGACATGTATAATGTTTTTGCAGCAGAATTAATAACATGGTCAATAGCTTGCATTGAAAAATTGAACGTCATAAATTCGCAGATCGGTCGTAAGCCAGCCTGAAAATCAAAAATCATAACACAATTTCATATCAAAACAAAGATGCACAAACTCAAGATCATATTTTACAACATTTAAAAAACAACTAAAGATATGAACACAATAACCTGTGGCTTTGTTTTAACTAAAGTTTTCAATTACTTTGATATCAATTAAAACACTTCCAATTTTGTGCCCTATTTACCTTTAAGGAAGAAATTAATTTCCAGGACTGCCCATGCCACAGATCTAACTAAACTGCCCTTGACATAGCACTACCTAGAGATTCCAGAAAATTATGTAGGTGCAAAGACTTAAAATCAAACAGACTTGGATATCTTGGGAGGGGGTGAGGTTATCTCTGAATTTTCTGACTGATAAGATCTCTCAAACTAAAAGGAATATGTACAGCCATTTAAACAGAATAACTATAGAAAAATTATTTACATTGTTTTAAGCAAAACCCCAGGGACAAGTCTGACAAAATACACAGAATCCTACAAAAAAAACTTAAAATGGATTTAAAATTGAATTTCCTTTTATGTTATAATTTTTATTTGAGACATTAACCTACTTTACGATTTCAATGAACACAAAATTAAAATTATAAAAACCTCAAGTCTAAAGCACATTGTTGTCATAAGTAATATTACTGTTGAAAAAAATAAAGCATATTTCCTCTAAATTTCATACATTTGTAAGTATGTTATTCACTAGTTTATACAACTTGCATCCATCATACTTGATGGATTATGACTGTACGTAGTGTCTTATGTAATGTTATGCTCACAAACATACAAATTATTAAAGTAATAATAAAATATTATTACATACAAATTAAAATTCTTACCATTGCAGCACCAACAGCAAGACCAGCAAAACCCATTTCTGTGATTGGTGTGTCAATAACACGTTTGTCTCCATACTTTTTCCATAAACCTCTAGAAATTTTGTAAGCACCATCATACATTGCAACTTCCTCACCAAGCAAAAAAACTCTTTCATCTCTATCCATTTCTTCATCTAATGCAGTGTTCAAGGCATCTCGCACTGTCATCTGAAACATACTTTACTATGTAAGAAATGACATTCATGAAGGACATTTTTCTGAAGTGAAATATTGCAATGGAAATTTAACATTGATTGCTTCAAAACCACTTTAAATACATATATTGAAGAAGAAATGTTGTTAATTCTTTAAAAGGTCTCTGAATTTTAAATATAAGCAATGTTATCGCTTTGCAATTCAATGAGCAGTATATCTTACAAGTTTCAGCAATTATAAGCATTCCCATTTGAATAAACATGAAATTTCTACTACAATAAAACCAAAAAATAATTAATTGAAATAATACTTTAATCCCACAAAATACCATGGCTGAATTCATGTCTACACAATCACACATTCAACATACCATACAGTGTGCTAATGCTAACAGAAACAAGCAAGGCAACACACAAAACAGAATATTTTTCTTTTTCAGAATGTCAATTAATTAAGGTTTATCTCCGTTAATTGCAAATATTCCTACATATTAATTAATTTTAAAATAATTCCATTATCTTGAAAAATACATAAATACAAAAAATGTTCCAAGTTGTAAAAATTTCAATAATGCTTTTTGAAGTTGCAAAGAGCGATGTTATGGTCATAACTATACCTGTTGAGACATTGCCGCATGTGATACAGAGAAGGATCGGCGCCAAAGGCTGCCCGTAAGCTACGAAAGACCAATGATAAATATCAACTCAAAATATCATTTAACAAGGCACATCACAGCTAGATAAAAAAGAAATACCTACGGGTACATATACACGAAGTGACTGCATTGTGGATTTGAAGTAAACGTTGCTGGGAATGGAATCGAACAGCTGACACACCTAATTATGCTCTCGGTCGCGAGACTTCTGAGGTAGCTAACGATCAGACATAAATAGCTCAAATCTTATTTCACATATGGCGCATTGCTTACGTCATTAAATAAGACCTATAACTTGCTGGTAACTTCGAAACACAAAATGTCTCAGCTTGCATTTGGGACAGTGTGAGATCTGACCGCTTGGTTCGCGATTTAAAGACCCCCCCCCCCGCCGACACATTTTAGAGGTCAGAAATAAATTTACAAAACCCAAGATCTGAAGTACAATACTTATTACACGTATATTTAGTCTTTTAGAGTTATCCATTTCAAATGGTATCTAATAGTTACACTTATAGCATACCATTTTGTTATTTCATGGTCGGAGTAATCTAATTGTATAGAAAAACTTATGCAGCAGAAAAGCCTGCTGCACTTTGCCTATTTAACTTCAATTTTTTTCAACGGGGCGTCTCAAAATTACACACGGGAAAGGGAGAGGGAGGGCAGACTCCAATAGGGAGCTGTTCGGCTACAGCCGTCACTTTTACGGCTCTCTATTGGAGTCTGCCTTCCCTCTCCCTTTTTCGTATTTGACTGTCAGACGACACGTTAAAAAAATCAAAGTTTGGGTATCGATTTTTGTTGTTTAAGGGGGAGTTAGTATCACCTCGAACGTTAAAACAATATCAATCTTCTACGCATGCTTAGTTCAAGTTTCGCACCACTTTAGTGCATCTGCGCATGCACAGAAGATGGATAGCGCTGTCCACTATGACGTGCACATACTCCCTAATAATGTACTTGTAATGAGTAAAGGATACGAGGATTTTTTAGTGCGCTGGTGCTACTGACAATGCCAATTATTCCTACGAAGTGTGTCGTATTATAGATTGCATGAAAATATGTTCTACTTTTAAGTAAGTCAATTTCGAGAAAAATAATGATACGTAAATGAATAGGCAAGGCAATGGTAGTATTCCAAGTTTATTGAAAGCACATTATTTATTTTGGCTACTTAAAAAAGTATATAATGGGAAGACAATAGTTGGTGACTGAGAATGAGTACGCTTAGAGACTTTTATTGTGATCCTTACGCCGAGTGTTTCGTTTATTCCGATGTATATTTGTTGATTAGGTTACGAAACTGGTACATCTTCGGATAATACGGCGAACGGTTGAGAAGAGGTACTTTCTTTACTGGCGAGTGGTAGAACTGGCATTGTTATTGTAGGATTGGACAGTGGCTTTTGGATTGTAACGATAGAAAATCACAATAAACTGTTTTGGTAGACACATCTGTCTACCTACGTTTCATACATTTCAGTATTATTTTGATGTTGCATCCTCTCTTTGCTTCTTTCTCTTGTTTATTTAATATAACTTGTCTCACTTTTAATTTGTAAACTACTTCTATGTTTTTGTAGTAGGGTTGTAGTATCCATGGATGGTTTGTATCGTAAAACGGTTTGCGTATCTTGTGTACATATGCTAGCTTACAAAAACTGCGGAATAAACGTTTTTGATTTAAAAAATTTAAATTCAAGTTATTTTAACCTTGTCGAGAATGGCCAATGGCGCAATTATTTTGGGCAAGTCGTGTTAATGCGTGAGTCACCACTGTGAAGTTCTCGTAAATTACGTTATTGTCATTAACATCATTTGGCCGATGAACAACAAATAACAGTGTCGAAGTTTGTAAAAAGAGGCAATAGCCAAGGTCGAACCAAGTCTGTTATTTATGTTATCGATAGTGTGTCGTTCAATACTTTTCGTAATACCATCTGATAAGAAATCCGCTTAGGTGGCTCTGGGCATCAATTGATGTCACTGCAGTGTCTATGACTGGGAGGTCCTGGGGTTCGAGTTCCGACGGTGGTAGGACTTTTGACACTAGCTAGATACGTGGAATTCAGCCGCTGTCTGGAGGAGAATTCTAGCCGGCTGAACTGATCAGTAGTTTTCCATGGTTTCTACGATCAACACCAGCGAATGCCGGAGTAGTCTCGTAACAAACGAGCCGCGGACTGCACGCGATCTTTCCTTTTTCTTCTTTATCCTATCCGCACCCCTAACGTACTTACATTTACATGCACCACACTGCTACACATGTCAACATATCAGTCGGGTTGCTTGTCCCAGTTGGGGGAGGGGGCGCCCCGCTGGTGGAAGGTTGGGAAAACCCCTCAGGCCGACGTGTATTTCGGTGCCGGATCTCATCATACAGCGGGGGAAGATACTTCCTGCAATAAAAAAGCATGCACTACACCTACGGGACTAATAGCCTCAGCAGTTGATGTGCCCGGAATCATCAATCAATAAACCAATCAATCTTGTAAGAGAAATAAAATAAATAAGAAATTCATTTGCTTTCAATACGTAGGAGTGAAACGTAATCTTCCATTTCAATTCAATTCGATTGTTGCTTCAGACCCAACAGTCTCTCATTTCTATGCGAATGTTGCTTGTCCCACATTTGAAGACGGAGTCTATTCCAGACGCTTTGAAAATTGCTGGTGATGCAAGTTTTGACTTATCTGTGAAAACCAAGATAAGCTATCAGAAAGAATACCACGACTTTCAACACTGACGTCATTGAAATAATGTTGATAAAGTACATGAAACAGTTATGCTGGTCTATGTCAAAGAAATATGTCAGACGTACTCTCCCATATCGTTGTGGACAAAATTATCAATGTTGAATCTATGTTTACTAGTTAACGAAAATGTCGACATATCATGATTGGTATTCCACATTTTCATTTTTACGTTTCAGTTTAAAAGCTTTATTTAGTGACATCTGAATTCACTTTAAAAATTTCCAAAAAATACCTATTTTTGAGGCGAAAATCTGAAGGTTATATTCGCAAGAAAGAAGATTTTATAGGAGATGTTAGAAAATGTTTATTGGAAGCAAATTATTTACTTTGGATACTTAAAAAAAGTAATTGTAATCCACGAGTAAGGGAATGCTACTTATTCTGAAATGCACAAAAAATGTTTGTGAGTCCCAAAGACGGACATCTATTTAATGCATATGATTTGTTCAAAAATATACTCACCTACGTCCATATGAGCGAGAAACCAGAATCTTTAAATCTTTTTCTTACTTCGTAAGAAGAGATAGTTATGTAATCGTGCGTCGGAAAACGGTGAATCTTCGGAAGAAAAACTCTTCTTGCTGAGCCCTAGTAACGAAAAAGTGGAAAATCCTGTTCCTATTTATAGAAAATCGCTTCTTATAACATGTCGTGTAGCCAGATTCAATATTTTATGGGACATGAATACCGAAAACTCGATTGTCGGGAGGAGTTTTTTATCTCTGTCCGTCTGTGGTCAACGCTAGAACCTAAACCGTTAAGACGATTTTGGAGAAAATCGATTCTTCGATCGATCTGAACGAACTCGTGGGTTTGGGAGTTTTAAGCAGATATTTTGATTTCTGAGGTTACTTTTCACGGAGCCTATAAAACATTTCCAAAATTTCTCAAAAATGACTCCAAATTTGTTGATTAACATTTGTCCTCGGATAACGCAAAGGACGCTGGAGAGAATGATGCAGGTCTTGTGTGTGTCGAAATCCCTGATGTTTCGAAAATTACAAAAGGGCAACTCTTCTGGAGTGTTTTCCTACAAAAACAATACTGAAGATACACATTTTTCCTTAATGAAATCTGTTCCTTAAAGACAGATCTTGAAATGAGTTCATGTTCAAATTTTCTAAAATATGAGTAGATTTTGTGTAATTTTGCGCGAAATATAGGTAATTTTAATTTTTTAAAAACATTTTGATCTCAAAAACCGCTCCAAATTCTCGCTTCAAATTTTTCCATGTATAGAACAAGGAAGCGTAAAGGAATGACGCGGGTCTCATGTTCGTTAAACTCTGAATTTTCGAAAATTTCAAAATTAAAATTAATGCGAGAAATTAGGTGGTGTTGTAACACCACTAATTTAGTTGAATACTTACGCGTAGGGTAGTTAGGTTATAAAAGTGGAAAATGCACTAAATACTATGTGGTTATACAAACAATAGGCGATACTACAAAAAGATTGCGAAATTTTTAAAATCAGACTCTCCTGAGCTCTACATAAGGCATTGTTTTCGTCGATCATTGGTCACAATTGCTAGTCAAAAACGGTGGCGATCTGCTCTCGTCGAAAGTACTTGGAGAAAGAAGTCGTCATCGGTAGTAAGAAACATATTAACAATCGGTATCGAAAATAATTAATTTTCCTAGAGTTATTCAGCACCGACAACGTTGTTGGTCTGTACGCGTCCCAGAAGTCCGAGCGAACGTGACGTCATCTCCGCCTTCAACGGATGGCCACGCCTTTTCACTAACGCGCCACCCCTTCCACACCCACCGGGTCGCCGGTGCGTTTGCTGGAAAGTACGGTAGTCTCTAACCCCAAACAACTTCCTCCCACGTCACTAAACGCAGTCTCGACGACAAAATCTCTGCATCCGAGTATACAAGCAACTCCCCGGCCCGGCTTATTCTTCTCGAGTTTTTGCTGCATGACTACGCTGCCCTCAGCAGCTCTGCTGTCTTTGACACGCAGACGGTCTTTCAGTCATTCCAATTATTCGTGATATCACCGACGTGGTACGTTTCGGCAGCTCTTCGACCGTCACACTTCCGCAGTGGATTTATGCACGTTATGAATATTAGTATTGTTTATCGACCCTACCTTGGTGGGTGTTGTGCGGCGTTGTGCGGCATTCCTTTTCGCTGCCGACTGTTGGTAACTGGCCACGTTGTTGCCTTCCGTTTTCTGCCACTTGTGAGCACGTGTACTGTACGGCGGTCCCGTTTCGGTGCTGCATATGCTCCTTGCCATCGCTGAACCCTGGGGGAGCGCGCATTCCGACATAGACTCGGCTGTGCCACGCAGAGGCTAATACTGCGTATCGTAGTCCGGGAGCCAGACCAAATTCACGTATGATAAGCTCAAAGGTAAAAAGTTTTGAGAAGTTAGCCAGTGTTATGAGGAACAGGGAAACGCACGTATGGTGGCATGTAGGTGTCGGCGTTGCGCTGCACAATTTTTTGAATGTGTGGAAGAAGAATATGCCATTGGGGAATAAGTACACAGTTAATTCGTGTTGTATACTATTCGTTAGATAACCAAAGTATGAAGGATGTATGCCATACCGATGTGGCATCTCGGACTGTACTGTGACGTCGTATTGGTTATTTAATTTTAAACAATCCCAACGCTTGGGGCAGCTATTTGTGATGTCGACGCCTTGTTGCTACGCCAGCTGGCTCAGATCCTGCGGGATACCTTTTTTCAGTGGAATGTAATGGGGCGTCATTCAAAATAAACACAAACACCTGTTCAAATAAGAATTTAAACATAATTTTAATTTTAATTCTTAAAGATTTACACAAAAACAATCATGAAACTTAACGAGCTCGTTACCAGACTAATTATTGAAATGGATTTACGCTTATATGATCCAAAGGCCAAAGCGCGGCCATGCCAAGTCATACATAAATCTTTCTTTAAATTCTTCCCTGTTATTTCAGAAACAACCAAGAGCCCTTTTATGTTGCCAATCGGCTTGAAGAGCTTTTAAACCTTTGCGTGGTTTTACTCGTCGAAAGACTTCACCGTTTCTTTGAGCGACGGGGGATGTGTCGCGGCGGCCGCGAGCGGTAGTTGATCCGTCAGCTGCCTTCCACTGGAGGTGCTGGCATGGGCTGTGGGGCCTGCCACACTAGGCCAGGCCGGAGCGGCCCATTTACAGAAGCTCAAAGGGCACCGTCCATTCACTGCAGGCAGCGGTGCGTGGCAACGACAGTCCACACCACACGCTACGCCAAATGCCATTCACGCACTCTTCCTCGCTCTTTCCTCAAATGAGTGCGACAGATTCTGAATAGTTCACGGAACTTCGCGAATGAACGGTAGTCATAACGGTGGTCCGAGATGATGCGCCTAGCTATCGAAATTAAAATTACTGGGTGCCTGATCACAACTAACGCACCTAGCATTTCGACTTCATGATGTCCGTTAATACACTTGGACGTTCAATCGCGTCCCCAGCTTCGATCTTTTCACAATTTCCAAGACCACATTACTAAAAGGTCGCGTACGAGATAAACCCCACCTCCCCATTCGCGATCCGCTCAAATCGACGGTCGGACCCTGTCTTCCCGACTGCGATCCGCCCAACTCGACTGTCGCGTCCCACCTCTCTCTCTCTCTCTCTCTCTCTCTCTCTCTCTCTCTCTCTCTCTCCCTGCTCTCCGCTTCTGCCCTCCCATTCCAAGTGTATATTCCCTTGTCCTCTCTGCCCTTTAGAAATCGCGCTGTGAAAAGTCAAAACCAATTGCGCATACAGGTTTTCTCGGCCAACCACTGCAGGCGTCTCAAATGTTCCAGAGTGGAAATTGTTTTAGTGCTCTCTCTGTACCTCCGAAAACGCTGATGCAAGCCTCGAGCTCCGCAGCCGAGTTCTGAGTAAAACGTAGGTGGTCCTATTTTTATCCAAGTCATAATTCTCGTCCATCGCAGTCGGAGATTTTCCATTTACGCAACACCGTCCACACCCTGGCCGGAGCATTGTGGAGAGTCGAGGGAAGTGAGAATGGAAGTAGGATCGTGCCATCGGCACGTAGAGAGAGGGAGCGCCGGGGTGCAGCAACAGGCACGAGTCTCGACCATTGCCTTGGGCCGGAGGGAGGGGAAAAGGGGCCTTGGCTGTCCTCGGGGCGGCGCGCTCCACTCACAAAAAACTACGAGTTTCTCAATGTTACATAATGTTGAGATAAATTTACCAAAAACGGCTTACTTCATATTAAATAATCCTCCAATCTTTGTGTCGCCACAATACGGCATATTGAATTCAAAGTGTCATTTTTTAATCCTCTTTTGTACTACGAGCTCAAAGCTAATGCTTTGCTCTAATTGTAGAAAATTATTTTTGATTGCCATTTAGCACATTTACAGGCTGACTTGTTTGAACGATTCCGGAGTTTCAGCAAAGCGCGTGCTTGAGCATTCTGCCTTCTGGAACTCCAGGAACGACTCTGCCTTTGCGCGCGATCGCTAAACCGGAATTGTTCGACAAAAGCAAGCGAGTAAACCGGACCTTAGAAGCGAACACCCGAAGGAATTCACGTTTCCAGAAAGGAAGAGAGACCGTGCAGTTAAGAGGTTGGTGCGATGGGACGCTGGGAATCTGCAAGGAAGATCGGAAGACTGCGAGAGCGGGAGAGAGTGCGAGTGCGGAAGCCTGGGAGGTTGTGGGAGTGGAAGGCCGGGCGGCTGGAGCGCGCCGCCTCAGAGGCTGTCGTCGCCCTCCTTGTTCCAGGCGAGCAGCGTGTTCATGTCGGCGATGTTGCGGGTGCTCCAGGCGTCGAGGGGGTCCGGCGAGGAGAGCGAGTCGCGGGCGTCGCCGCCGCGGGGGCCCCTGCGCGCCGCCTCCGCCGACGCCCCGCGGCGCACGCGGGCGGGCGACGCCGGCCCCACCCTGCGCACGCGCACACACGAGATACGGAACCCGGCCGATGAGGCGCAGACGCTCAGGACAGCGCCACCCAGAGCGCCTCCGCTGCGACCAGCCGATTGATAACTTAATATCCTCTGTAAGTTTCCTTAGCTATATTGTATTTCGTTCCCTAACTCCAAATACTGGTTCGTAACTTCAAAACACAAAAACAAAAATGTCAATTAGAATGTTATTTCAAACCGATCTTATAACCCTAATAATTCAATGTGTTATTCTCAAAAACCTCTATTACATAATTATTTTCTAAGAACGTTCTAGAAACATCCAAAATATGTAAATACGCGCTTGAATCTATATAATGTAAAGAGTACGACTGCCGAGCATCATTAGACCACTCGCCAGCATTGTGTTCACATCTCTCAGGACTGTATATGTCTCTTCTGGAAAATAAACGTTATGATATCACTTGTGCGTTATATTGGACAAGTCACTCTGTGGTATCGTACCTGAGAGTTGCAGCCAGCCTAACACGCCAGCCAACTGCATCAGTACGACTACCTATTTAACTCACGCACACGCGCGTCTCCCAGCCCAGAACTCCGAAAAACCTCTAAGTCCGTCATTCTATTGGACTCTTGGAATTTGTGACGAGTTGTACAATAACTGGATTCATTTACGCTGATGTTTCTGAACTACATAATTTCGATAGTAGGAATAATGTGGAGAGGTTCCTGAGAATCCGTGGTGGTAACACGGGCATCTAGAACGGGGGCGTCTGGGGCTTGTCCCAGGCCCCGAACTAACTGGGGCGCCGATTATTATTCATTCAAAAGAAATGAAAAATATATTTGTCTCTGAAAAAGATGTACGTTATAAGTTGTTTCTGATGCATGTAGAAATGAATCTTGCTTCTGAATTGGGAAAAGAGGGAATATTTGTTTGAAGTAAGGGACCCCCGTGGATAAACTGCCCCAGACCCCTGGTTTTCTCTGGGCGCCACTGGTAACACACAGTCAAATGCAATTCCATAATCCAAGAGAACAATTAAATTCAGAAACTTTGGCTAGCAAAATAATCCACCTATGGACCAACGCATATATTCTAAATGAATGAATTGCTTTGCTGGACATGACTTTTAGAAGATCTGCAACACTTCGACGACGATCCCAGGTTGGCTGCTGTAGCCTTCAAACGCGGGTGAAGGGAAAGGGATTGTGTGCGATTGTAGCTCTGTGCGCGACTAAGGTGATCGTCTGTCTCCATACAGCTTCCTGCCCTAGAAAGCAAAATTCCTCCTTATCCACGTAAGGATACTGGCCAATGGAGGCGAAAGGAACTGTGTCCAGTCAGAATGCGGGAATGACCCTGTGGCACTCGCGGCGATCTCTCACATGCATAATTAGACTTCTGGCTTGTCGTGCTTCAAACATTGACTGTTGGCTGTTTTAGGCACACGTTAAACACACTGACTAACATCAACATTTGAAAACTTCATTAAATTACAATGTTTAACGACAATAAGAACGAGATGTATGCTAGAAAACGGAATCAGCTGCAAATTGTAGAACAAGCTTCTGCCTCCGTGGTTCTGGTGACGGCAGTAATAAGCTTATTGGCATGAACAGGAAGGTATAACATAAACAATAACAGAGAGGGTCTGGGAAGGACGGTGTTCTGAAAATGTTCGCTCTCTCAACGGAATAACACATCATTCATTTGAGAGATCGACCGTGTGTGTCGCTCCCACCATTACTAGGTGCCCTAGAATTTGCCACGTTCATTAAAATGGGAGTTGCTTGTCAATCCCGAACGACCTGTAATTCCGACACTGATGAAAGTATTCTGGTTTCTTCTCTTCGACCCCGTCACTATCCAAGAAATTTCCCTATCGGACTGATATGGCTTCATGCGTATGTTTATGTGTGTATTTAAATATAGTTTGTGCCCCCTGCTAGAATCGGGTTCATAATGTGACTGCTGCGTTTGGTGGTTTCCGTGCATTCCTTGATCACCCACGGGAATGTCGAACCAGCACTCTACGCAACGGGCAATGTATTGGCACTTGTTTATGGCACAGAGTAACTTTTAAATTTGCCACGAGTCCATTATTATTTTTTATCTCACCTGTTTGGACGAGCTGTTTTCGGACGACGTGAATATGCATTAGCGGGTTTCTCTTTAAAGCTTATTTCCTTTGATGCACTTCTTGTACTGTCTGATTCATTCCCACAGTCTGCATCGGTTTCCTGGAGAACATTGTTGTATTTTAAGAACTCTCAATTTCATGGGCGGCAAGGAGAAACGAATTATCACACAAAAGGTGGATATGTTCTTGAAGTGGCTTTTAGTATACATTTGATGCTTTACTTAAATAGCGAGACGCCATACTTACGTTTAGTGTTGTATACTGTTATTATTTGTTATGTTTCTACATTTTTTTACAATATAACCACATTATATGCAAAAGCATATGCATCAGAGCTTCATTAAAATTTCTACAAGTCATAGAGCATTTCAGACCCTTTACCTTGGGAATACAGTCATTGATGAAGCCTAAATTGTCAATGCCAGCATCAGAAGAACATGATGATGATTCTCGACGCAGAAGAGCTTCTTCGTTGAAGAGGTCCATGTTGGAAGCTGCATTGTATCTACTATGTCTGAGTTGAGAACCTCGGCCCAAGAGAGGTCGGTCCACTAGAAAGAGATATTTTAAAGTATTCTTTGTGACACAACAGCACAATGTAATACTACAGTTAAGCAAAGACAAAAATATACGTTGTGTTTTGACGTGACGTCTTACGAATAGCCTTCTACGTTCAAAAAGTGGGCGATACGAAATGTTTCTATCGATTCCCCGACAATTTATCGTTGAGTAAACGCAGAATGTTAAATGTAATGTCCGCCCTTATGCTTCATGTTTCACACAAAAATGTATCGATCTGATGTCATCAAGGCACGTTTGAATAAGCGCTGGGAAAATGATTTGAAGTGGTTTAATACGCTCAAGACTGCTTTAGCGAAGATTTCATTTTCACGTGGTCGCGATATTTAAATACAGTTATTGTTAGTCACTATTTCATGAGAGGCGTTGATGTCTTACAAATTGAAAAAAAAGTATGTGACGATGTATGATGGAATTCAATTTAATGCAGAACTGTATACGTCATTTACATCTAAAAACCAACAATAGACGCCCCTATTAAGGTGGTGTTGTAATATTATTTTTATAATATTGTAATGACTGTTAATTGCTTTCGGAGAGAGCAATGTTATTCAGAGTACTAAGCTCTAACATCTTATACAGATTAGCAATATACTAATTGTAACTATCGTGACCACGTCTTACAACTGAGCCCTCTCTGCACTAAATCTGAGCGACACGAAATTTTGCCAGATCACAAATTCACAATTCATAGGTTTAATGAAGGATACTTTCAACCCGGACTGCGCCTACATCACATCTCCAACGACTTTGACAGATATATGAAAAAATTTGACGTTCGTCAGGCGTATCATGTAAAAATTGTTCCAACAAAACCAGTTTGTCTGCTTCACAAGGGCTAGTCCAACCCCTGTGAAGTGTCAAAAACCTTAACCCAATCCTAATTCCATCCAAATTTTGGCCGCTGGGAGTGACGCAGGAGCGCGTAGTAAGAGGCGCGTATGCGAAATGCTATCTGGCGGTCTTCTGCGACGAGACGTGACTGCGACGAGTCGTGACGCATATGACAATGTAAAATAATTAATGGAAGATTACTTCTGCGCTGTTATTAATGGAGGATTACTCTAAGCGCAGATCTCTCAACGCCCCCAAGGGGATTGGAGACGCGTTGCTTGTATTGAAGATGAAAAAAGACAATTACTGTTGAGACCCTCACATATCCTGTTTCGTTGCCCGAATGATACCTTCTTTATCTGCTAGATGGCAAAAGGAGTGTAGCGGGATTGGCCTGGTCTGGCGGAAGAGCAGGCGTGATGGCCTTAGCCTCGCCACGTAAAATAAGGAAGAATTGAATTACCTACCGTACCATCATTTGATACTGCCATCATCAACTAATACTGGATCGTTCATACACCGCCAATGCACTCCTAAGACTAATATTGAACTCATTTTACCTACAAATAATTTACTGTTAATAAATAAAGTTATCTTCATATTAAATAAAAAACAAATTAATTTCAACTAAACACTGTCTACATTTTATTTCTCTCACCACCCATAGACGTCACGACTGACCACATAACACAGCCCAATAAAACGTTTTTCGTTATAAACGCTGGATCAAATAATTGTGTTATTTCACTGTTATAGTACATACCTCCTAATTCATCACTTTCATTTGAATCAAAGTTAGTCAAGGGACGACGCCCTACATGCTTTAATTCGAAAATTGTAGGGGGGCACAGTAGCTTTTGGTACTCTGGTGGAGATACTTCCTCGACCCCGTCTAGTTTTGCTGCAGCAGTAGCCAAAACAGCCAATTCCGTTTCCATATTTGGCATATCAGAAGCCATAACTAATTGCCGCAATGGGTCCTGCACCGCATCAACAACAGCAAACTTTGAGGCAGCGTCGGTGACTGTGTAAACTCGACCATCTCTCCTTTCCTCTGAAAAAGTTATAACAATATTTGAAAACGATCCATAAGAGCAAGATTCGTGATTAATTCCCGTGAAACTTATTAACTATAGCGCCAATTAGGATTCTTGTCAATAAACGATTACTTTAAAAAACAACTAATGTACTTCCCCTTCTGAGAATGAAAATTGCAATTGAATTAAATCCGTGGCATATCCCTCGTCGCAGCATAGCCAGGCATTAGAAATTGTCAGGCGTAGGCGATATGTTGGAACATGGACAAACCAAGTGATGGATTCATGTACTCAATATATCCAGTGACGCAGATGCTAACGTTTGTGTAAGTGAAAAAATAATTTACGTACAAAAACTGTCTAACAATTTCAAGCAATTTAAAAATTGAATGGATACTTTTCGTTCACTGCTCTACTATCTGCACGTAGCCCCCGAGCGCACACACGAACCTGTTTTGGGAGGAAACTGGAAGGCGTCGGTGCTGCTGGCCAGGTCGATGAACAAGTTGGGGACGTTGAGGGCGGCGGGGGCGGGCGCGGGTGTAGGTGTAGGGATCTGCAGCAGCTGGCCGAGCGCCTGGCCGTTGGGTGTGGCGTGCGCGGGGGCGGCGGGCGGCGCGCGGCCCGGGAGCGCGCCTAGGGCGGCAGGTGGCGCGGGCCCCGGGGGCGCCAGGGAGCTGTAGGGGGGCAGAGGCGCCTCGCGCGGCGCGGCGCCCGCGGGGGCCGGGGGGCCCGGGGGGACCGACGGGGCCGAAGGCGCCGCCGGGGCAGACGGGATTCCTGGCCCCAGAGCAGTCGACGGCACCGTCAGCTTGGCGCCGTCTTGCTCGGTCCGCGCCAGGTCCAGGTCGTTGGCGAACGCCATCACGTCCAGCGCGGCGGACAGGGCGTCCCCAAACGCCGGGATGCCTGGCGCGTCCGCGCCCTCCATAGCGTCTGGACTGCAAGGAGCCAACCGTGTAGGTATTAGAGCACATCTGCGAACTTGATAAAGGACATGCTACACTCCCCAAGAATTTGTGCCGAAAAGGAGTAACTGATAAATGTATGATATACAATTATGTACGAAATACTTCTGACGACACCTGAGAGGTTTCAGTGGCCTACCGTGAATTTTTGAAATTCGCTTTGCTGACTCTTTGTAGTGTTTCTGTTCCCGCCGCTCAAAACCGATGTGGTCGACCAACGATCAACAACCGGTGTAATAAATATATGTATTTCGAGAAAAATACTGTATGTAGAAAACTGTACAAACACGAAATGATCGGAAGTCTTCAAGCAAGTTCTTACCTAGCTACCACACGAACTGGTGTTGATATGGATGCCCTCTCCCACATCAATCGGCGAAGCTGCTCTCCAGTCCAGCCTCTCTTCCTCAGCTCATTGATTGTTACTTTCCCCACGCGCTGTAAAATAAAGAAATGTCAGTAGCTAATGTAGAGTAAATGAATGGGTGTGAAAAAGGATTTAGCTTTAGTGAAATTGCCACACGCAATGACTACATGGAATCTGTTTGAAAAGATCCAATAAACTATGCGCTGTTGAACTGCCAAGAGCCTTTCAGAAATTTGTTTCTACTGGTAAGTTACTAAATTGCTTTTTCACTCTCCCGGACAATTATCGATAATTATTCACCAAATTCTCGGCGATCCGTAAAGCAAATATTGATATGATTCCTCGTTTTGCCACTCTACAATAAATGGATTTTTTCTTTCTTAAATTCCCATTTCATATTTTACTTTTAACTAATTTAACAATTGTACGGTTTTAGTCCCATTAATCAAATTTAAATTGGCTTTGCAGCATTACAAATTGCAATTTCCCTCAAACTTTTGAAAACCTATATTTATATATCATTTATGATAATTTTCAATTCTTTAACAATCACATTAGGAATGACTTTTTTGCCTGAAAAATGCGCTCCTCTCAATCATAAATTAATAAGAAAGTGGGAAACAATAGGAAATGCAAAGCGACATGCATGGAAATAGTAAGTTATATACCACGTGCGCTAATCTCCTCTCGCACGTGTTGCGTATTCTTTCAACCGCAGTGAGGGAAACGCTTTCTGAAATCATTTGTAAACTTACTTTTGCAAGAGGTAAATGGATAGGAATCAATATCGTATCTGCATTCCATTTAAATAATAAACAAAGACGTTCTCATGACGAAATACACTTGCGAAACATTACTGATATTTCGGTCACGTTTCGCTCTTACTACAGTCCGGAAGTCCAGTCATTTATTTGTCATATGTATATATTCAGTCATTGTATAAAAAAATATTCTGACTATAGTAGGGATGCAAAAAGGCATATACAGAATAAAAAATCACAATTTAAAATGAATTGTAATATATTGTAATAAATTGTAAAAAACAATGGAAATGGTTCACATATAATTCGAAACCTAAAATTTACATTACTACTTCGTAAAAGGAAACGATCATTTCTTTGTAATGTTGATTGCACATGACTACCTGTATCATGTCTAGGAATTTGTTTTACTCGCGACGCTATCGTTATGAAATGTTATTACAGACTATCTTTTGAAGCTTAAAATTGCATCAGTGAAAACAAAATTATAATTTTCGTTCTTCGGAGTTGTGTAATCCCCAGGACCGAAAAATGTTCATCGTATATATACAGTGAGCTCTGTCCTCAAAACGGATCGGATGTCACACTCAACTGTAGGAAGAGATTCCTTGTGAGTAAACAAAGTCTGACGGCATCAATAATAAAAAAAAATTTAAAAAATGACTTGCATCTTCTTCCTTTCTCATTTACATTTTTAACACTACCTGGCCCTGAAGTGCAAGCTTCCACAGAAAGACAAACCACGACCGTGCCTTCGTGTTGTCCAGGCTTGTAGGTTTGTTTGCAGCTTGATCGAGATCGGTGTCATGTGAAAACAAGGAAAACAATAATGAAAAAGGCAAAAATAAGGCATAATACCAAAAATAGTCATCAGAAGCTAAAATAGATAACATAAAAGTCTAATAAAACAACTCCAGAAGTGCAATTAAGTGATTCCTATTGTGAAAGGTCATAAAATAACAGTAAAATGTGTCATTTTGCCAAACTTCCGGGCTCTAGCAAAGTTTCACGAATCCAGCGGAGCACGTTCACCGCCACCTCTCGCGATAAAAAACATGTACAACACATGCGGGACTTATGACCATAGCCGTTCACGCGCCCGGAATCACTAATCAATCTGGACCTCACACCCACCCAAGCAGCGCCGCAGCGTCGTGTAAAAATCTTCAGTGAAAGCGAAGTGCTGGCTGAGTAATAGCAGGGTGGAGTAGCCTGGAGTGTGAACACCAAGTATCTGTTCCGGGGTTACGATTATTTCTGTAACTTTGTTTCCTCTGCTTAGTTGATCGTCCAAAATTCCTGTGAGAAAATACAGGCAAAACAAGCAAGAAGGGCCTCCCAGGTCACGCTTATCCCAGTGAGTGGCGTGACGAGGTCCGTTCATGCTTTCCTGTGCGCCAGTCAATGTTTATGGAGTGCCAAGAATGGCGCAGTTTCAATGTTTTCCGGGCGTTCAGCACAGTATTACACGAATTATGCAATAAAGATAATTATACACCGCAATTAATGGAATTAGACGGGAACATATTGATAATTAAACGTGCGTAGTATTTATCATTTAATGAATTTTTGTTCTAGACCTTCAAAATTTCATGGACTGACTTAATTTCGGTACTTCCTGAGTCGGAACTTTCAAAATTAGCTTTTAATTTCAAAATATGAGATTGTTGTGACGTATGAACAATATGGAAATACGTCACCTCTACAATACTTTTTCACATTACTTCGTGAGAAGAGAAAGTATTTTAACCGAGCGCCAGAAATCAGCGATTTTTCGACAGAAAAACTCTTATTGTGGAGCCCTGATTACGAAAAGTGAATCAATAGTGTTCCTATAGTAGTAAATTACTTCCTCTAATAAATAGTGAAGTCAGAATCCATGTTCTGTTGGTTCTTAATAACAAAAAATCGATTGACCGCAAAACCTGTTTGACGATTTTTTCAAAAATGAATATTCCCCGATCGATTTGAATTAACTCGAAATCCTGTATCCGATAAACTCACTGTATTTTCGAAAATTGTAAAAATGTAACATTGCAAATATACAATATTGAAGGTAGAGATTTTTGTCTTAAATGAAATGTTTTAAAAAATCAGATGAAGGTCATGTACAATGTTTTGAAGAAACGTGACGTTTTTTTCTTAAACTTTTTTTCACGGACAGAGAATGTCGCAAGTTTCATTTTGGAGAAACTAAATGTTTGGAAATGGCAAAATTTAGAAATAATGCGAGAAAGTATATGCTCTTGTAGCACCACTAGTTACACCAAGAGCCGCCACCGGCCTATAAAATATCTTCTGAATCAATAAAAAGAACTGAATTCTGGCGTCTTCATACAACTAATGCTTATAGTTAGAACGCTTCACGATTAACGTATTTGGTACGCTGAAATATACTCGCAGAAATGAGAAATTGTCGACCGTCAAACATCTTTTTCAAGGGTGTCATCGTATGCTATACATTGCTCATCTTCATAGTATTAAGAATTCACAGAAGTAAATAATTTTTAAGGATACTTACCTTCCAATTGCTCAATGCTCCTTTCCTCTGCTTGGCTCTAGTTTTACTCTTGCTTTTAATAATCATTACTCCTCGTTGCTCCTGACTTGGATCATCGCTAGGGCCAAGCGAAATGCTATATTCCTGTAGATAATGATGTGCATCGGACTGATTCACTGCTCGCTCTAAGGCGACAACAATTTTTGCCCACTGCAAAAATAATTCGGGCATGAAACAAGACGACAGTAAAAATAAAATATCGGTAAACATATTGATGGGCGACCTATTTCAGATATACAAATCTGACGTGTAGGACTTAATTTATTTCTTGGACCTTTTTATAAATTGCCTATTAAGTAAATGATATACCTGTTTCATCCATTCCTTCTCACTTTGTTCGATCACATGAGCGTAAGTATTGCCCATCATAGCGATAAGCATGTTGAGAAGAAGGATAGGCACAAACACCATAAATATTGCGAACACCGTTTTTGACACAGCTGGATAGGTTGTGTAACTTAACTCAGGATACTGAAAATATAAATAGTTAATACTTTGAACGAATTGGAAATTTAAGCAAAGTACGATATTATTTGAAAAAAGTTAAGTATGAATTCAGTGATATAATGTTTGGCTTTTAAGTGCAACGACATTTAAGTATGAATTGTATGATTTTAGTGTGAGTGTAAATTGTTGTTGTGGTCGAATGTCCGGGCTTTGGGTACTTGTGGAACTAGTCATCCAGCGTAGTGTGACGTCATGGATACTCACAGCGACCACAGACACAGAGCTTTCATATAAGAAATATATTTATTAACAAGAAAACAAAACAAATATATACACTTAATATCCTACTTACACCCTAGCTCTGATAGACCTACTATCCCCTGATCGCGGGAGCGATCCAAACCCGAATGAAGATGGTTTTGATTGTGGCATTCGCCACTCCTACTTTTGAAGCGCGCACAAAGCCTAGCTTCCGTGACCGGATGTCACGCTGGGACACAAAGTCCGTTCAGGCGCACCAACGGCTGGTGTGCCTCGATCGCAGGAGCGATCTTATCCGATTGAGAATCGGCGTGAATCGTGGCACTCAACCACTCTTCACCTCGGAGCACGCACACAGCATCGCTCCCCCGTGACCGCAGTCACCCAAGGACCTAAAGTCCGCAGGCTTCGTCAACTAGTGACTCGAGCCTCGCGAGCCTGGCTCGCATATGCCCCGTGTGGCGCCAAGTTTTGTGCACACGCACGAGGTTCTCCCACTGTCTCCAGAACCCAATCACAGGCTCTGTACACTCTGTTATATAGGCGAGGCCCACGTGACCTACTACGTCACGCCACCCCCTCGCTTGTTATAACAGTGAATTGGCCGGATGACTCCCAAAGCCTTCTGTCTCCCGTTTCCGCGTTCTTCCCTTTACGGAAAAACCCTTCTTCCTGTGGCGAGGCTAATCCTCTACCAAACGTCCCCAAATAGATGCCATGAGGCACGCTGGCTAATACGTTACAGTAGCAAGATCATCGCCACCTCCCGCAATAAAAACATGCACTTCACATGCGGGACTAATGAGTATAGCAGATCACGCGCCCACACTGACATGGGATGTATTAGTATTTAAACGTCGGCAACAATGGCGCTCAACGTTAGCCACTGACAATTTTACTGCCATGTTTGTCATCTGGAAGGCCAACAATATAGCTCGTTTGTTGAGTTTAATGTTATTCCAGGTATAATTGAATTGAAAAAACATTTTCAACACTCCTTCCGTAACTTACAGGATAAGTGGAAAAATTTAAATGTTGGGATGCATGGTGATGTTGAACGGAACTATTTTTCGTCGCAAGATGTATTTACTTTCTTTACTATCTTTTGAAATGTGACTGGATATTACTAACAGATTTGTGGCATTGTTATTTATTCTATCACAAAAGGAATAACTTCTTCTTTTAAAAATTTATACATTTAAAAGTATATGAAATATATTTCAATTAGAAAGTATACTTACATTATAGTCCCCCATTGTGATTTGGAATAAAGCCATCCATGTTGATGGATACGACTCGTAGAGAGTTGATTTTACACCAGGGAATCCTTTGTAAAGAAAATAGAATGTCTGTGAGAACCCGAACAGTACCACTGTGTAGATGATCCCGAACGTGAGCATGTCGCCTGTTATCATGGAATATACCATCGTAACAAATGGTCCTGTTAGTCGGATAGCACTGCAATGAAAATAATAATTATTATTACTTTTTAACACTATCTATATACTTCAATGCGGCTGAAAGAGAGTCATGTAATAAAAGATTGTCGTCTTCAAAGACTTATTAATGCAAGTATAATATATCATCATCAAAGACTTGATCAGTGTTTCGAAGGAAATAATATATTGCAATGTTACAATAATTGACTATAAGGTAGTAACGCAGTATCCCATTAAAAACATATTTGGAACGATTTGAATTAGAAAACGGATAAATGGATTGGGTAAAATGAAAAGGAAGAGAACAAGTCAGAAAATACTGCGTTGCCCTACATGCGAATAGTCTCCGTTTCATGGTATTACTGGATGATGCTTCAGATCCAAGAGACCTAGTTGCATGAGAAATTGGGTGTGCGTTCTGCTACATCCCGTTCCCGCGCTCGCATATAAGAACAATTAGTTGTGCTACAGAATGGCACAGACTTTCCCGTTTTAGTTTTGTATTTCCCTTTGGTCTCGCCTAGCTATACGAACTTGCCTTATATTCCTGCCAGTTGCCATCTATCGTCGCCAAAAGTACACTTTTTAAAAAATTTTCGTAATTTTACGGTTTCCTAATAGTAGAACGGAAATATTATTTTCCTCGTTAAATATTATAAACCTCGTCCTAAATGGCAAATTTCTTTGAACAATTTGGAGCCGTTTGTATGAAAATGGCGCTTAAGCGCCGCTGTAAATTCGAAATTTGAAGCTCTTTTTCACACGAATGTTTGAGTTTTCGAAAAACTTAATTTGAAGTCATTTGAAGCCCATTAACTCACAAATACAATAGTGTTTACAAATTGCTGGTAATATGAATATTAACAGCGTGAGAGATCTTCCAACAAATTACATTTGTGTAATATTTGAAAAAAATACACCTAAATGAACTTTACGTCATATTAAAGAGTGCAATTAGCACTATCCGCTCAAAACGTTTGAAGAAAAAATTTAACGCTAAATAAATAAATAAAAATAAATAAATACATAAATAAAAGTTTTTTCACATACGTCACACACTCATGAACCATTACTTCTTTTCAGTTATTAAATTTTGTACGATACAATTCGATATAGGCGAACAATTTAGCAGATCTAACAGAAATATTTCGTTAAATATGTGAACCTAAATACGTGATCACAACATATGTGTGTAGCAGGGATATTTAGAAAATGAACGAGAATAATTGGTGAGACATGACTGGCGCAACGAGTGACATTGTCGAGTGCATTACAGTCTATTAGGTGGCAATGATCAAGGGGCGGAGAGTGAGCGAGGTGAAAAACAGGAATTAAAAATGAAATGTTCATGTACAGAATATATTGTTATGACGTAGTGTTAGTGATAATTTAAAGATTCAAATTACTAATAATATAACGTGTTTCCAATGAAAATGAGGTTCGAATTATTTGTTTCCTATTATCTCCGCAGGTTCGATTTGCATGAATTGACATTCTTCTGATTTATTGTTCAGCAGATTATTTCTTGTTTTACCAGCAATTATACATAATCTACTTAAATTTTTGAAGTCTCTTACCCGGCGAAGAACATCAGCAAAAACCAAGAGCCAGGGACTGCGAACACCAAAATAGCTTCTTCTGTCTTTCGATCGCCAATTAAGCGTAGTGGAATACACATTAATATCATCAAGTTTGATAATAAGAATATAAATTTGTCTGGTGAATGTATCTGAAAAAAAAATTAAATCAAAGTATTCCAAAGATGTAAAACAATTTAACTGTAACACATTCCAGTTGACTTGTGAAAATCAATTCAACAACATGCACAATGCAGTGATGAAATTGTAGCTGGTAAAGATACCATTAGCTGAGTCGTAAGTACCAAATAGCTATTATTTTCTTATGTTTTCATACAAGGAATGGTCTGGAAGAATAAAGCTGTAAAGATGTCATTCTACACATCGAATGTTTATATTTCAATTAATAAGTAGGCAGAACCAAATCTACCGACTAATTCACGTTTCTAACTTACGTGTTGTATTTTAGCTTGTGCACAAGCTGGCAGAAATAAAGTCAGCGTTCGTCATTCTGAAAAGCACTACTTACGTAATAATGTTTTTTTAAAATAGTGCTATATAAATGTTGGTTCGTATTAATTGTGGGTTCAGATTTGTCAAGACAAATGCTTGAACTCAAGTGTCAGTTATGAGATTTAAAATAGAGATATTTCCCTAATAAACATCAAGAGTTTCACAATGCATTCTTCATCCACAGTTAACGTTAAGTTGTTCTTGGTTATTTTCCCATCTTTAACAATTGTATCCAATATCTGACAGACAGTTTAGCTCGTCGAAGACATGAGAGTCAGCTATTGCGATTATTTGATTTTTGCCAGGAATGTAATTTTCTTGCTTTCACATTATTTTCCCCTACAATGAACCTACAAATGACAAGAACATAGAAGGACACAACGTAAACGTGAGATGCTTAAAACAATTTAGTGCGATTTTACCTTTCATCAAGATTGTTCTTTCTGAAAATTTGGCCACCCGTGTAATTTCGATACACGACCAACAGTTTTGTTGAGAGCTTCTCCTGGATACTTTAAAAAAATTGGCGAACTTGTCCCAGTTTAGGAAGCTGCCGTTCTAAAGCGACAACTGACTTGCTGCCAGTAATTGCATTAATTGCATACGCTTTACTCTTACTCAGTAGGTCATTTTCAAGCAAATGAATGGAATGAGGTTAGAGACTAAAGGGGTCCTTCGCTAATTCCGCTATCTGATTTTACTCGTCTCCGAAGCTTCAGTAAGAATAAATCCTTTATTGCAATTAGAAAAGGTTGTATAGATAAAGTGTATGCTATTAAATAATATTTTGATTACAACCACATTACCATGATTAAAACTTTTTTCAAAAACCAAACGGTAAGAAAATAATTACCATATTTCTTGAAAGTTGAATCATTAAATTTCAAGCACATTTCCATATTCAACAATGATGAATGATTGAATTTTACTTACGAGTTGTTTTAGAAAACTACCTAAGCCCTGGTTCTTTATTTCTTCCCCTTGCTGGAGAATCACATAAGAGAGAACACCCATCACTGTTCCGATTTCAGCACAGTAGCGACAGATGTCATTCCATTCTATGGGGCCCAAGAGAGGCACAGCAGGATTCGTTGGGCGAAGGTACACGGCAGCGCTCAGCAGGAGAAGGTGGAGAGCCAAGATCGCCAGTCTCTTCAGAAACTGAATCTGGAACCCACAACACGACGTTCTAACGGAAAGCCATTTCAAGAATCGTATTTCAGTTTATTTGTGGTGGGGAAAGCTTATTTGGATTATTCTAATAATTAAATACTTCATTAAATTAAGCTTAATTTATATTAACCATATTCCAGTTTATTGGTTGTGTATTAGAATACAAACAATATTCTAGAGTGCGGCGCATGAATATAATAACTCATATTCAGTGAGATCGGAGAAACTAGGTACACTAGGTAGGTTAAAGGTATGTTCATAGAAACTTTCTCCAAATACTATTGTTTTCTTTACTGACGTAGATAGTAGACAGATATCGACTTAAAATTATTTAAATCTTCACCTTTACAGTCTTCACTTACAGTCACATTTAAACAATGTAGTATGCAGTGGCGTAGCGTCCTATTAGGCTGCAAGGCGGAGTCTACCCAACTATTTTATAAAAAGCAAAAACTGCTTTTAATTTTAAAAACAGTTCATCACTTTATAATGTATTTATTGATACTTTTCGAATGAACAATCACGTGATACGTGAACGCATGCGCAGTACGTGTGCCCGGGGGACGCAGATATCTTGTGTAGCCCTGAAGGTTGCCTACGCGACCCTTCGGCAATCCTCGAGACCAGTTGTGGCCAGTGGCGGGCTCCCTTACGCCAAACACTCACGCTGGACCGCTTTCGGGACGATTTATGACAGTCAGTTCTGTTCACACGCAATAAGTTTCATTCACACTTTTGAAGAGAAGGTCCGTCCCATCCTGCACTTTGCGGTGACGTGTGCAGCCACCTAACCGTGCCTTCGGCTTTTCGGCGAGGCTACGATAGCACGTTCGCCTCTTATCGGCCTACAAGCTCATCCTCGCCGCCGATGGTTTACTGGTACAAGTTCGCCTATTCCTAGACTACCAAGTGTATTTTCATTCAGCAGCGACTACTAGTGCACGTTCGCTCTTTGGGAGGCTACATAGAGCTCTTCGTCTAAGCTTTGGCGGGTGGAGGGTACTTTCAGCAAGTTTCGCCCGGCCTACTCGTCTTTTGGTCTCGCGCGACCCACTAGATTGTCCCAGCGGGGCGATTGTTGCTTACTTGTGACCCTTCGCTCCGCCTCGGACACTAGACGGAAAACTAGTGTTTCTCCCGGCGGTCGTTTCCACTCATGTCCGCCTGGAAGCTCTTACAAGGCCCGCGCACTGGCTCCCTCACTGGGGGCAGCAGGTGACATGCTGCCTACCCAGGCTCACAATGCCAAAGGGCTAGCCCTGCGACGGGGGTACGCCATGAACTGGGGTCGAGTGGGTGTTTCCTTCCACGGGGGCTGACAAGGCCCCTTCTTGCGTTCGGTTGGCGCGCCAATCCTGACCTTGCGCATGACATTAGCCCCTGACTGTTACGGAACTCACCATGCATTGGTGTTTGCCGGGTTCACGAAATCTCTTAGACTCAAAATGTGACACGTCCATCATCAATGTAAAATGAGTTGTCTACCAATCAGGACCTAATGTCACGTGTTTAAATTCATTGTATGGAATTTTCCATTACATGCTCTCAGACGAAAAGTTATCAAAACGTCGACGTTCGTTTCCTGAAGTTCTTCCAATGCGATTCTCAAAATAATCGGTGAACTAAAAAATATTCGGGTGGTTACGATGATGTGTATTCCGAAAATGCCACCTAATTTTAGTTAAGCAGATCGGGGGACATATGAATTAATGGTACTTTTAAGAATTGTTAAATTGTTTGTGTATATCGTGTATTAATTGAAGATCGTAAGGTCAAATTAAATACAAAACCACTGAATCAAATCATCTGAAATTACGACTATAAAATGCATACAAGCAACATTTCGGCAATTTTGGTTTTTGGCCCTCTTCAAAATAAAACACTGACATTCTTCTCCTGATTAATATCACAATTTCAGAATATAATTTACTTGTTTTAAATTAATAATAAGAAGAATTAATAATAACCACTTATACTCGTATCAGTTTTACTGAACATAAATATTTGATCACGGGACAAGATGACAAGATCCCAAATCTCCATGTAGTTCAATTTCAAGCAAATTGTGTGCTATCAGGTGCATGCATCACATTCTAGAATTTTTACATTTTCTCAAATCCAGGGATATAGTTTCTTACCCTTGCGAACGTCTTCCATTTCTCTTCAAGCAATTTTTGAATTATTCCTCCATCCAACATATCTAAATGCTCTTCTTTTGTACCATTCAGAATTATAAAGAGAGCAGAATTCCAGTCTGTAAAACACATACAACATTCTTTAATATGAAAATTCAGGCGAAGAAACAGAAGGAGAAATTACAACAGAGAAAATTGTACATAACTAAATTTTCAAATTATACTTAATTAAAATACACAGATGTCCAGGGACGAAACAACGAAACTTCGGAAATAAGCTCTTTATAGATTTTAAAACTTATTTTGTCTAATAAACTTCATTTTTTAGACTTTTATTACACGTTGTCTAAAATTTCGATATTTCAGATGGTTGAGCTGCAATAAGCACTCAAAAGTTGGTTTAAAAAAATTATTTCTATGCAAAAATTTGCATTTCAGAAACATACAAAAACTACAGACCCATGTAAAATTGTTTATTATTTATTAAAGAAATGAAGATATTTGATCACAGAGAAAAATTAACACAGAAATAAGAAAGCAATTGAATTGTGTAAATTGGGTTTGGGAATCTGAATTATTTGTATACAATAAGATAAGTTAAATTCCTGCTGGTTGCTGAGTATTGAGCGCCTCTTGTATTCACGAATAGAATAAAATGTTTATTACATATCGAATGTAACAAGGTAAGTTGAGTGTCTGTTCATTATTTGCAGATAAAATAATCACGGGATGAGAAAATATTTTCCTCTCCTGCTAAATTTAATTTTGATGATTTCGCTTATTCACAGGGGTCAAAGGTATATGAGCGATTGCACACTCGAGAAAAGCAAGCCACAATAATTCAATTAGCCATTCTACTTCCAAATCTCTAGTCCAAATTCATGAGAGCTACAAAAGAATTTGGATCCATTAGATAATCACAGAGAGAATCATTGTGCCTGAGAAAACAATGTCGACTTACTTGTACGTCCATCTGGTAGTAAAGTATCTAAGGCATTTAGCGGGTAGGCAGAACATGTAATATTGCTGTAGCGCCAGAACTCTCTGGCGCTGAGTTCCAACATCTCTCGGAAAACATCCGCGCGTCCGAGTTTGCAAGCCAAGGTCAATGGGGTTAAGCCAGATTTGTTAATAATACCATTTCGGGCGGGAACTTTCGGATGCCGAAGAGCATAACCAAACATGTCCTGAAACAGATAATCGAATTAATACTTCATTCATTAGTGCACATCTGTCTGCCTGTCCGTGGCTAAAGCTGGCACCAAATCCGTTCGGTAATTTTCTCCAAAATTAATATTATTGGGTCGATTTAAAGGAATTTAAGGCCCTCTGAGTCTGGAAAGCATATTTGGTTTGGGGGGAGGGTCTTTACAAGTAGCTTTAACATTTTCAAAATTTCCTCAAAAAAGGTTCCATTTTTACGTATTTAATTTTTCGTATGAAGAGAATGTTATGTAATCGAATGACAGAAAAGACCGAAATTTCGCCAGAAATAAACTTATTGTCGGACACTGGTAACGAAGAAGTAGATAAATCCTGTTGCTAAATTTAGAAGAAAAAAATTCTCAAACTCTTGGTGTAGCCATAATCTATGTTTTGTTGATTCTTCATACCGAGAAATCGTAAGCATATTTACGGAGGGCGTTCAATAAGTTATCTACCTGAGCATGAATATGACATTTTATATTGAAACTCACCTTATTACTTTTCAATGTAGTCCCCAAAACACACTTGGTCTATATTGCCTCCAGTAATCGAATACCCTCAGAAAAAGACATTTTTACTATCCAGATACCACATTACAGCTTTCTTAACTGCTTCATCGTCAGGAAATCGTCGCCCATGCATACTTTTTTCATGTTTCGAAACAAAAAGTAGTCACTAGGAGTCAGATGTGGACTCCATGGAGGATCATTAAGTAGTACGAAACCACAGTGTTCAAAATCTCTCATTTTCTCACGATGTTCGTGAGAAATATCTCATTTTTCTGTTGTCCTGCGCGGACTGCACTTGCCATCTTCTCTCATCAGGAGTTTACGGCAGACTGATTTGTAACTGAGGCCAAACCATACCAATACGTGTCCCAACTTGCCTGTGCACACTCAGCTCTCCAGCAACGCCGTAAGATGTCGAGGTAGTATACATATTGAACGTCCTTCGTTGTGCTGTTGTAGCATCACTAATTTGATTTAACTCTTCCAATGGGTGCCCCACTGTGTAACAAGTGTGCTGAGAAATGGACATAAACTCGCAAACGAGAAACCAAGTCCTGAAGAGACAGCTACATGATAATAGATCTCTAATGAACCTGATACCAAATGATGCACTAGCTTTTTACCGCAAGCTCTCCAGCCACTCTGTTATTGAGGATGACATTGATGGCTTCAACAGCTCGCAACTTGATTTTGTTGTTGATGGTAAAATGTCAAATTAAGAAACATTAAGTACTTTTCATTTATATATTGCATTTTTAAAGTATTTACATAAATGTTCAGTTTCAATCCCTTTTAACCATATACTTGTATTTATACTTTGGAAGAGCTTTTATTATACTACTGTCATTTATTATTATTATTATTTTTTTTTATTTTCAAAAATGTTTGTAATATTGTATTTGAAAGACCTCCTTATTTTCTTAATCACATAAGGAGGATTTTTATAAGTTGTTACTTTAATAAAAAGGCAAAGAAAATATGAAAATATTCAATAGTAATGCTTTTTCTTTATACATCAGTTAATTACGAGTACATATAAATCTTAATAAACTGGTACAATCTTATTGTATCATATAAAATATTACAACAAAAAATTTCACTCTCTAATTTGCATCACTTGACTCAGAGACATGTTTTGGAGTCAGATAATGCAAAACATGGATATGAAAATTATTTATTAAAGCATCAAATAGCTAAGCGCCATTTCTACATAAATAAAGAGTTTCGCTGCATTTTTCATGTTTTTAAGATGTATTCAATTTAATTTTTTTCATTATTTTGCCATTTACAAAACAAAATTTGAGACATGCTTAGTTTCTATTAATACTTTCGTGTTTGTGTTAATGTCTTGAAATTAAGTTTTGGCTCTTGATCAATTGATGCATAACACCATCCAATTCACTGATCTTACATCAATTTTTTAAGCACATTTGATGTGATCGTGTCCTAAAAATTTACCACACCCCAGTTTAAATGAACTGTCCACACCCCAGTTCCCAATTCCTTCATAAAACTATGTCCTTAAACAGAATGTCTTTGCATCAAATGTGAGTGAACTTACATTGAAAAACACTATACTCTCTGTTCACAATTACAATAGAAATTTTAATATTCTCAATAAGCCTGCTTTTAACATAATAATTGTTTATAAGAGATTCTCTTACATTTCTTAAATTGTTTGAGGTACTAAGTGAAGCTTTTCTTTATCTAGTTTCATAATAAATCTTTTATTTCCATTGTAAAGAATATTTCATCAAAAGTCAGTTGAAAGATTCAAACTTACCAGTTTATCCACAACTACCACCATATGCAAAATCATATTTCCAAATGAATCTTGTGCATCAGGATCTGCATTATTTTCAAGCAACAGATTATACACTGATTCATTTGCACAACAGGCTGCCCATGCAAGAGGATACTCTCCTAAGTATGCTAGCCCTTCATAATCAGTATGCTTTGCTGGTTGGGGTAGTTGTTGATCTCTAGGTAAGAAGAAACTTCCTGAAAAGATGAATAGGAAATGAGTGCCCTTTAAATGTAAAATTCATGCAAATGTTTATCTGAATCACTGAGTCAAAGAAGGTGACAATATGATCACTAAAATATATTTAAATATACATGAAGTATCTTGCACATTTCTATGGTAATATATAATGCTCAATAAGCCAGATGTAGGTAAATAAGATATTTTGAAATTTATATAAAAGATCATTTTGTTAATTGTGGTTTTAGATTTTGTTTCTTATTATTGTGCATTATTTAAGTAGCCATTCTAGATTTAGATTCTGAAATAAATATTACATATAAGTGGAACTCACAAGAAAAGTTAATTAATGTAATAACAGAAAGATTAGAACGTCCCTCCCTTTAATTGAAATATCATTTTCCTTGTTAGCATTGATTTACAATAAAATGATAATATTCATTAGTTAAAATTAACATGAATTCAGTACATTTTCAGTATCTCAATCTTTGAGACAATCAGTTTATTTATTTTCAAATAGTTAAATTATTTCCAAATAATGAGTAAAATAGTTATGTAATTTTATATTTTGATCACAATGTTTCGCTAACCACTTGTTCACATCATCAGGTACTATAAATACTGATTGTCTGAAAGATTAAGATACTGAAAATATACAGACAATCATAATACTAGTAAATAAGCAATATAATTAATTATTATTAATAATTCATTATTGTTATTAATAAAATAACACAATTAACTTTGAAGTAGTATTATCTTACCTAAGGCTCGCTGGGCAACATTTGCACCTGCTTCAACGAGGTCCTGAACAAGCTCATTATTTGCATATGCAATTGCCAAATGCAAAGCACTTGCCCCTGTACAATATCCAAGGGTTTACCAATTATTGATAACATTATCAATAATTATTATTACATATTAGTAATAATGAATAAAATGAAATGGTTACATTTGGATTTCAGTCATTAGTATTTCTCATAAAAACAATGAAATGGAGCAATAATGAAAGAGATAATGGAATTTTACACAACTACTTGAGAATCACATTTGAAAGAGATATGAGTATTTACACACAATCACTATCTGGGAAGAAGTATACTATAGCAAACAGACTGTTTAAGGATGTAATACTACCAAAGAAGAAGAATACAAAAATGGTACTTCTTGAAAGTTATTGTGACACATTACTACAAAGCTACAATAGTATCAATAAATGAAAATGCCATGCCTTCATGATAATTTCACTTAACCAAATGAACACAAGAAAAAAAGATGTTTGAATGGACAATCCATCACCTACAACATGCACCCATACAATGAGTATCATAAAAGTCATAAAAGTACAGAAATGAAACTACAGAATGTTTTAAGCAAAGACTTGCATTAAACATTATCATAAGGTGGAATGATTTAAAGATGCTACAGAATAATGCAATAGGAAAATAAATTTTACAATGCTATTGTAGTTATTAATAATATATCGTCATGTCATTGTTACATCTATTAACAGCAAATGCAGGTTGATATTACTATATACCCTCACCTAGATAATCTTCACCTTCAACAATATCAAGTGCCAGTTTTGGAAAACATTTTAACAAAGTACGTGCTAACCGTGTGTGCACTTTTGTATCACAAATGATGAGAACATGGAGAAGTGTTTCTCCAAGAGAGCCTCTGTACTGCATCTTCCAGCATGCTTCATGGTCTTCCCACTTAGCTAGAGGATCGTGTGGACTAAGGGATGCCTCTATGGGCAAAACAACCTGCAATTATCATTTCTCATTTCATTTCTTTCCTTAGAACATGGGGAATTGTTTTTTTAATACTATATCAGAGTTCTCTCTCTCTTTCTTTGATTGTAATAACTCCCAAAATTAAAAATCAAATACCACAAATATTTTTTAATTGATTTGGTTAATTAGTATTAAAATAAAAACTCGTGAATATTGTCATTTGTAAAATGTTGGCAAAAAGGGAGGGACTAATTGTAGCTAATCGACTTTCTTTATAATAATGTGACTTTTAACAAATAACATGTCTTTAAAACAACAAGATTTCAACACCAGAGCCAGGATTTTCTCCCGAAATCTTAACAGCAGAACTTTCAAAGGAATTGTGTTAAAAAAATCTCCACATTTCCATTTCACTATCACAGAAGAATATGTTTAATTTTTAAGACTCTTGCTGTCTGACCAGAATGATATTACTTTTATAGCACTTACTATAGAATTGCCCCCATATTTTCTGTTACACAACTAATACAGTTATGAAGCTATTTACCTTATTGTTACTGATGGTCAAGTTGTATTATTGCACTAATTAATTGCTTCATCAGGGAATATTCGTAGTTTGAAAAAAATATTGAGTAATAAAATATGAATTGCGATGAATTAATACATAAATATTTGGGGTTCTGCTTTTTTCTCTAGTTAGCCAAAGCAAAACAATAACATTCTCCTACAATATTTGAAAATTTTAATTTTTAGAATATTAACTAATTTTATTTTCAATTATTATAAAAGAAAGTATGCAGTATTTTTCACCTTTTCTTTTTCATGAGAGAAAATTTGTTTGAAATGTGGAAAAACGGAAAGAAAAGAGATTGCAAAGATATGATTTCCAAATTATTTTTGAGTCCATAATGAGGCAAAAAAGTGAATTGTGATTTAACATGAATTTTAATAACATGAGCTTCAATAGTTTTTAATATATTTACGCTTAAATTCATTGCATGTAACATTGCACGCCTGAATGACTATTTCCTGCCTCATTGTAGAATCTGTTTTTTTGTTTAAATGATAAAAATATTTATTGCAGTAAAATTTCTTTCAAAAAATATTGTTTCATTAATCTGTGTTCATAAAAATTTTAATGTTAATAAAAATATAATTTTCACCCATCTCACTTATGTAAAAAGTTACATTTCTTTTAACAATACTAAAACGACATCATAATCCATGTGCAACATTTTCAATAATTTCAAAATGTAATTTTAAAACCAATTTATATATTTTTCAAACAAAATTGCTTCCGATTGTCGTACCTGTGCCTGATCTCGAAACTTCCAACGCAGATACTCTGCTCTGTTTATTACCTGACCTTTACCATCACAATACATCAGCACTCCAAATTGTTCAAGAATTAACTTTTCAACTTCGGATTGTCCACCTATATTGTATGCATCGATTAATTCTCCGCCATTCTTGTAGTTAGCAAGACGATAGAGAAGACAATCATCCTTGTTTGATGCTTGAGAAATAACGCGATCTAAGACTGATCCGTCATTTCCCTTAGCAGATTTCTTGCCGCCACAACATGCTAAATTTCCCATTGTTGAAATAAAGGTATTAAAGAGTATTTATGTAAAATATTTTTAATCTTTAAATTTGAACTTTTCGATGTTACTTATGATTTGATTTAATGCAATCTAGAAAATTACGTTAAATAATATTAACGAAATTATTGAAGAAGAGTCTAGATGCACCAATTAGTAGAATAGTTATTAATTAGATAATTGGAAAACTATTTCTTCTGATAATTTGGCTGAAATTGTTCTCGAGCTACATCGGAGAGATCATTCTCTCTATGTTCGCCCTCCCGTACTATTTCGTTCCTGGCGCGGAACGTAACGATTCGATTTCTCTACCCCCACCAAGTGTAATACAGTCCAGTTCAAAAATATTTCAATGATGCTGCGTATTCTTGAAGAGGGAAACTAACATTAAATAATAATCATAATAATAAAAATCATTGTGAACAATAACAAATAAACAATGTAAAAATGCGTTAAATGATGTAAAAGGAATCTGCAGGGGCTTGGTGTGAGTGATGATTAAATGCAGCTGTAATCAAACAAACCCACCGTGCGTCGGACAAAAGCGAAATGAGAGCTTCGGAAGAATTCTTCTAAACACAGAGCACATTAACAACATTAACAGTGGAAGCGTCGATTCCCGCACTCACCGAGAAGTGTTCTCGGTATGCTTTGAGTCAGAGTGTTTTACATTGTATTTTTGGTAGCAAGTTGATGGATTTCCAGGGGATTGAAAGCGGTTTAGCTTCTTTTTTGATAAACATTTATGTCTCATATGTTATTATGTACCTTAATGTCGACTTAAGTCACGTTCACTTCCTCTACCTGAGATTAAAAATACTCATCTAAACGAATTGTATTGCTGATATTGTTATTATTTAGGTATTTTATAATTCTATCTTTTTAAAAAAATTAGCAAAACTTTAAAGGTAAATCGTTATCACAATGTTTATCTTCACATAAGATATCATCCTCGTTTTAGCGTAGAGAGTTGTATTTTTCATGCATTTATAAGTAATACTAAATGATCATATAAATACTTGGCTGAAATTTAAATAAAGAAGAAATGTGTGCAACTGCGGTGCTAGGGCTGTTTACTCTCTGGCTGCGGGGCTAGGGCGTTTTAAGACTGACAGCGTAAATATGTGCATTGTGAATACGCAAACTCAATAAGTTCACCTTTAAGTTCATCTCACGTTTAAAATTGGCACAATTAGAACGTAAGATAGTCAGTTTCTAATTTTTACGGTATTAGGAGAGGAAAAAATTCTAAGTAATTTTTAAAGCATAAAAACTATCACATGGCGCACATCTAATAAATTGTACTCTTCCCGATAGACGGTATACCGCAGCCATATTCCAGATTCTGGAAAAACTCTGTCGAAAGTGTAGTAACCACCACACCACAGTAAAATACGTTTGCAAAATGTAGCTTTGTTTGACTCCCTCACCCCTCTGTAACAACTCGTAAAACACCTCCTCAAATCAATGTTCCTCTTAACCTCCTTCCTAAATTATATAAAATTAACTTCTCAAAATAGAGTTACTTTTATTTATATCAATACAAATTTTCAAATTACAAAAATATTTTTTTTAATTATTAAAAATACATTTGTTATTTGATATTAATACAAAAATAAATATATTTTATAGAAATGTTGTGATACCATTTAAATTTTATCTACCTATCTCCACGTCCTAATTCATCACAAATACATGACCTTGACAAACGAACGTGTTTTTAATGTCCCCTTAAAGATCCGTTGTCGGGCGTGCCCAGATGAGTGAACACTACCCTCCCACAGCAGAGCAGCTGCGAGTACTACGCAGCTACAGAGCTTTCGTACTAGCATTAGCGCGTCTGCTTTCCGCCTCTGGGTTACAGCTTTAATTTCCGGCTGTGAGAACGCAACGTTTTCACGATAAATTTAGGATTAAGAAATTGTCAAGAAGAAAGAGTACATAACCATCGGCGTGAGTAACCTAAAAAAAGGGGGCCCACCTACATTTTTGGGCACCTCTGCCCCCCGACCGGACCCTTCTTTCTATTAAACTTTTTTTCAAGTGACTTATTTTACTAGTAATAAATCAAATATAATACGGGGAGAATTAAATTATTTTAATCATGCAGGATGGTCACTATTTTTCTGGAACAAATTTCATTGACGTTTCCCGCTTTTCCATTTAATTAATTTATTGTATCTTCTTTTATTTTTTGTCACATCAATCGAACGTAAGAGAAAGAAATGTATCAAAGTTCGCATAGCGTTATTATTATTATTATTATTATTATTATTATTATTATTATTATTGTTGTTGTTGTTATATTACATTACAAAAGACGAGCTGTCCGTCCACCCACAAGAGAGAACTCTCAGAGGACCAACAGGCACTTATCAGTCACTGGCATTTCTACGCTCCACGCGTCATTAAGAAGTTATCTCCAGGGATTTGATGAGATCTTTAGTCCTAGTGAGAAGCAATGACCTGAACAGAAGTGTCAATTCTGTCAAGAAACGCTGATCCAAGGAAGCTGACCTTGATCGGTGATTTTACGTGCTTTTTACAATCAACACCAGACGAATGTCGGAACAGTACTCTAACAAACGGGCCGCGAACCACGCACGATCTATCCTTCCTCTTCCTTGTCCTTAATTACACACACTTATCCGTACACTTACACTCACATGAACTACACTACCACACGTGCCGGGAGACCAGTCGGGAGCTAAGAGCTTGTCCCGCCTGGGGCGGTGCCCCACTTTGAAAGATACCTGGTTGGGGAAACTCGTCAAGCCAACGTGTATGTCGGCGCCAAATATGGCCATCCAGCGTGGGATGACCACCGCCTATCCCGCGTTAAAAACATCCACTGCACGTACGGGACTAATAATCATAGCAGTTGACCCGCCAGGAATCACTAATCAATCAATCAGTCAACACAGGTAGCTGCCCTCGCGCTTATGATAAGGCGTCTCAAGGGGCAGTTTCGAAAAATCCTGGTTTTTTTGTTATTTTTTTTTTAAAAATGGAAATGGGACCTCTTTCGCATTAGTCATTTTAATATTATCTTTCCTCCTGTGCCAATGTAAATTCGTCCAATTTTAGTATACGGAGCGGCATGCTGGTACCCGTAAAAAAAGGGCAAATCGAAGCGTTAGATAATATTCAAAAACGGGCCTCAAAGTTTGTAAATCACGGGTGCGTTGGTGACGAACGAGAAGAATGGGAGTCCTTATCTAAGAGAAGGGAATGGGCGCGTTTATGCGTAATGTATAAGACATACAGAGAGGACACAGCATGGGCAGATATCGGTAAAAGATTACAGAAATCAGATTATAAAAGCAGAGGAGACCATCCTTGGAAAATACGATGTAGAAAGCAAAGAACTGATGTAGGAAAGTTCTCCTTTGTGAATCGCACTATAGTAGATTGGAATAAACTACCTGCAGAAGTACTAGAGACTCTTCCTTCTAATGTAGCCAAATTTAAAAATATGCTTCATTCCATCTAGATCATCTCGAATAATACTGACTGAGACATTTATCTTTATTAATATTTTTATTATTATTACTTTTATTATTATTATGATTATTAATATTATTATTACTTTTATTATTATTATGATTATTAATATTATTATTACTTTTATTATTATTAATATTACTATTACTTTTATTATTATATTATTACTGACGAATTTATCATCATTGTTAATGTCATTAGCTTTGGGGAAATTCTTAAGTTATTATTATTTCTTGTATTGTTATTGTTATAATTATTATCGTCATGTCCCTTATACAGTGAAGTGAAGGGGAATGTAGTGTAGTATTGTGTAGTGAAGTGTTATGTAAACTAGAAGTGAATTTAGAGTTAGCTAGAAATAAATTGGAACTATGATATCGACCCCTAATTCTAATAGTAAACCGACCATCAGTAATTGTAAATGTTGAAAATGTTTAGTAATTCTAATTGTTATCATGTTTGCCACCGAGCATTAGCTCAAAGCGAACTTTAATAAATCTATCTATCTATCTATCTAAATTACTTCCTTTAACTCATTGTGCAGTCAGAATCTATGTTTTGTGGGTCATTGACACCGAAAAATCGATTGACGGCAAAATGTCTGTCTGTCTGTTGGTCAAAGCTAGGCCCAAACCTTTCAGCCTACTTTTTTCCAAAATTGATATTCTCCGATCTATTTAAATTAAATTGATGCGTCTTTCTACTCTACAATATTGAAGATTGTGACTTTCTTGTGAATGAAATCTTTTTTTTAAAGACAAATCTCGAAATAAGGTCAGGCACCACTTAATCTCTAAAACCATAACACGGTGTACACAAAAATATTTCTTCATTAGTCAAAAACAAAACTAGTAGTGCTGCAACAAGACATATTTTTTTGCATTATTTCCAGCTTTTGTAGTCTTCGAAAATTCAGATTTCAACGCAAATGAGAGCAGAGCTGACCACTTTTTCGTTTCGAGGGCACGGCAATACGTTTTCTGTCGAAAATTCGCCTTTTTTCAGCATACCATTACAATACCTTCTATTCTTACGAAGGGAGGGCGAGAAAGCAACAGTGGATAAATATTGTTTCTGTGCAGTGGAAACTGCCGTACCTAGTGACAGATATACCTAAGAACAATGCAAGTTTTGAGATGTCTGTACGAAAAATTTCGGATTGGTATTTTCTCTACATTGCTATTGCCATTTTTGATTATTCAAGTGAACGATTTTGTAGTGTGAGCTTGACGAGTGAAAAGTAAAATTTATGCAGTTTTTCATCGATTTTGTTACAACTACTATTATTTTACAACAAGTTTATTATTATTGTTACAGCCTTCGACGCAGCGTCACCCGGATAGCCAAGATCATGCATAAAAGTAGCCGTGTTCATTTATGATCGCAAATTTTTGTAACTAGGGACAATGACTGTTGATGTCACCTAGAGACTGTACACAAACGAATCATCTAAAAAATAACCTTGTAGAATGTTCTTAAAAATATTTGTATTG